CCAGGATTTCGCGCAGCCATTTTTTTCTCGCGAATTTCTTTCGCGTCACGCACGACGGACTAAGCGAAAGAGGGACTACTCGTAGTCTAGTATATGTGGGGGATTAATACGATGAGAGCTGTGTAGGTATATGTTGGGAATTAATACGATGGAAGTTGTGTAGGTATATCTGGGGGATTAATGAGATGTAGGCTGTATATGTACATGTAGGGGATTAATGAGATGCAAACTGAGAAGGTAAATGTGAGGGATTCATGAGATGTGGGCTGTGTAGGTATATGTAGGGGATTAATGAGATGTAGGCTGTGTAAGTATATGTAGGGTATTAATGAGATAGAGGCTGTGTAGGTATATGTTGGAAATTAATACGATGAAAACTGTGTAGGTATATGTGGGGGATTAATGAGATGTAGGCTGCGTAGGTATATGTAGGGGATTAATGAGATGTAGGCTGTGTAGGTATATGCAAGGGGATTAATGAGATGTAGGCTGTGTAGGTATATGTGGGGGATTAATGAAATGCAGGCTGTGAGGGGATATTGAGGGATATTTAGGGGGGAGGAAGAATACTTGATTATATGTCCGGGAGGGATTGTTTTAAGAGAGATAAAGAGAGATGTGTGTATTGCGGTGGAGTTAACTACCCGCCCAACCGTCCGGGTGGTGTCGCACTTATAAAGCGAAAGAACAAAAGGCTTGGTTGTGAGCCAATGAGAAAGTACTGACGTCATAGCCAAACTGAACAAATGAGTTTCTGACACCGGCTGGATTTGATTATTCAAAATGGTGGACATACCTTAACTTAAGGTTATAATATGCTAATTTGCCAAACATTCTTTATATGCACGCTTATGTTCTGTAACGGCTTTGTAATTTATACTATACATACAGTTATATATTAAAATACGCGTTCATTTTGTGTATCTTGAGTTACAGTAGCCGGATTAAGCCTTCATTAAAGACGTTCGTTTAAGGTTTTCTCTGCCATTTAATATGACACGTTGCAGCGAAAGGGTAATTCAAACTCGTAAATAGATAGATAGATAGATAGATAGGTTCACAGGTCTCGAATTTTAATGCATTACGCGATTAGAAATGCGTTCTGTCGAAGACAATCCACCGTACGAAAAAAGATGGCGTCTGTACATTTTACCACAATGCCTCGCGAACCTAACACAGCCTAAAAGGCACAAAGAAAGCCAAATTTTTACGTTATTTGTCCCTGTACAAAGGATATTAAGTAGCCTAGGTTTGAAGATTTTATAACGTTTCTGTATGTTTTTCGTGCGCTAAGAACTATGGGTAAATGTACCAGTCGCCATCTTTTTTCCTACGGAGGATTATGGCAAGGCTTGTTTAACACCAACTCTGGTTATACCTTTCGGATAACAAATTGCTAAACAAATGTCAATCAGGCTTTCGATAGTTACATTTAACCGCCACAGCTTTGCTTGACGCTACCAATCAATGGTACATCAACATCGATAATGGCCTTGTCACATCCGTTGTTTTTCCCGGCTTAGGTAAAGCTTTTGACACCGTGATCATAATATTAATTATTCCAATAATTTTCCCCCGAAAACAAAAGTGGTGACCCGTACGGGAGACCGGGAGATTCGGTCTGTATCCATGAGGCTCCTGGATAATCTGGGAGAGTTTTCACCGTCTGTAAGTAAACAGGCTCCCGACCGTGAGCGCGAAAAAAATAAAATAGGTCGAGCGAAGCGAGCCTGNAAAAAAAAAAAAAAAAAAAAATAGGGCGACCGAAGCGAGCCTGGCGGTCCCGGGTAAGAATTTTTCTTTTCAACCCTTGCCCCGGGTTGGAATTTTTCCCTCTCCAGACCACTCTAGGCTATCTCTGCCCGCCTGTTTTTTCTTTTTCCTTTTCCTTTCATTTTTCGAGGATTTACGGTATGCATTTTTTTGTGGATTTTATGTATTTTATGCCATTCAAAACTCCCGATGACTAATTAATGCGGACTAAGCAATGATTAAAACTTTTGTGGGGCATCACAGGTAGCCCAAGCTTGATAGATGGGAAGCTCAATTTTGTTTTGACCGCGTTACTATCACGTAATTTGCGTGATTTGGTCTCTCTTTTAAAATTTTACTAAGGTTGGGTACTCGAGCCGAAAGCCGAGCGGACCGCCTGACGGAAAGCGGCCCTAAAATCCCCTCAAGGACTCTGATCCCCTCCAAATTTCACGTAGAACACGAACGACAGTTCTACTATCCATTTAGCTCGAAAGAGAGAGCAAATGGTTAAACTATAACTCGATGGCAACGCAACAAATCCGCTAGAAAACCACACAGAACGCGAAAGAACCACCACTGGAGTTCAGGTAAGCAATTTTTATCAAAAATTCAACAGTAATTTTTCGCAATTTTCGGCTCTATTTCTCTCCGCATGCAAACCCTTGTAAATATGCAAATCACGCAAATTACGTGACAGTACAGAGGTCAACAAAAAATTGAGCTTCTCATATATCGAGCTTGGGCTACCTGTGGCGGCATGGATTACTCATTGATTACCCATTGATTAATCATTGATGCCACTGAATAGTTATGTCTGAAATATGGCTTTCTCAGTAGAAAGAGAAAAGATTCTAAACCATTTTCATTTCTAAATTAAAATAGATGTTTAAATTTTACCAAACTTCTTAAACGAGGTCCGACTATCAATTTACTGTATTGGATAAATATTGCATTTGACGTCTAGGACGTGTACGGTAAAGACAGTAAACGCTTACCTCAGTGAAGGAATTTGAAATTTCTTCTCAGAGACCAAAGCCACCAACACTAGCACCGGGAAACTGCCCGCATCCCGAATGAAGCAAAAGATTAAAGGATCCGCTTGGTTCTCTTTAGCAAATTTGGAAATTACGACTCCAAAAGCCCCAAATCCCAGCTGGACTACAACGAGAGCCAACCAAACCAACCAGACAACCGCCATCTTGGATTGATTTATCGTGTCACCCTTGTGCACATGCTGGTCATATGAAGTCAGCGTGACGACAACAGCAATAGTTTATTGACAGTCCCCTATTGACACTCTCCTACTCCCCTCCCCTTGAGGCTTTTCAGTGACAATACAAGAGAGCTAAACTAATTAAGTTAAAAGAAGGGGTTTACAATTCAATTAAAAGGGAACGAATGCGATGAACATTAAACAATAATCATACAACATACAATTCATCATACAACAAATACTAAAATGTCGTGACATACCATCATGACGTGCTATTTAAAAAGTCAGTAATCAATTTGTTTTTCAGGTAAAGTTTAAAAGTAGAAATCGATTTTGCGGTTATAAGAATATTGTCTAGATTGTTTCAGATGTGCGCCATGCGGTAGTAAAATGTTCTAGCTCTGTCCGGCATTAGACTTATACAAAGGGATGTTTAATGGTTGACAACTTCGGGTCATACGCTAACTGATCACTGAAGTAACGGGGCGCTTGACCAGACATACATTTAAATGCTATGACAGCGTCACGGAAGAACAGATTTTGTTTCATTGGAAGCCAACGTAGATCTCTTAATGCGGGGGTTATATGATCAAACTTCCTGGTTACTGTAATAATACGCGCGGCAAAGTTCTGCACGGACTGTAGTCTACAGATATTTTTGTTCAAGGTGTTTGATCACACTGTGGAACGGTAGAGTAATTTACTGAAGACTGAGGCGTTTATTACTGTCACCAATTAATTGTTTACGATCAAGAACACGTGTAACCCGACTAATTTGTGCGATGCTTGACACACAAGACGAGGTGGTTTTCAAAACATGGTTAGTTGTGACACAACTTGAATTATTTCCGTTTTGCGAGATCGAAAAACGGTTTCAACGTAATTAATTATATTTTGAATAAATCTGTTCAGTTTGCTCAACCAAAGAAAGTTCTAAATGATGAACACGCACGGGGATGCGTGGCGAGAGGTGAAGAGAGAGATTTCTTCCCGGGGGGGGGGGTACTCCCTTATATGGACTCAGGAGAAAATGACCCTCATTTTCTCTTGATGGGCTATATAGGTATGTGCGTCCCCAAACGGTATGGTTTTTTAGCCGTTTTGGTTATAAATAGGGTATGGTTTTTGCACTCTAGTTTTGAATTGGATATGTTTTCTAGAAGACGCTGCTTTAGCTTTAGGTAAGGGTTTTGGGAAGGGGGCCGCACAACCCCACCCTATTTTTCTAAGAGTGCCTCCGCGAGGATTTCTTTACGTGCGTTATATTCCTTGGTGCTTTTTATACCTAATCTTTCCTACGGTGCCTCCTTTAGTTGGAGTGCACACGTTCTGCCACGGTATTACGGGATAGTCCCGCCGGAGGATCATGTTTTCTATACCTTCCGATATCCTTACTGAATTTATAAATGACGTCTAGACAGGTTAAATTATTGCTGCAGATGATTTTACTATATTCGTTTTTTATTATTATTATTAAGGTTGCTAAAAGAAAGAGAAGGTGAAGCTGGGGTAAGCTAAGAGAGTTAATCCTTCTTATAATCAATCTAATCTAACCTATCATCCTGTGTTGCGAAAAATATTTGAATGAGGATAGACACAATAGTTTAAATAAGATGCCGATCGGATAGTTGTCCTTGAACATTAAAGCTTTGCTCTCGGAAAACTGCTCGCTTCTCGGAACAGATATTGTCCGCGGAAAAATATCCAAGCATATTTTCGCGCCAAGTGGAGGCTATTGTTTATGTATACATATAGGCTCTATTACCGAGGTAATCCCTCTCAATTTATTACACATGGTACCCAGTTCCTCCACGGATAATATTACAAAGCGCGATGCGGATGTCCAAGTGAGCGAAATCCGCATATTAGCTTTTAACCATGAGACTGAAGCTTAAATGGAGGATTACACTCTCTCTTACCCTTTATCATCTATTGCTTAAAGTCTGCGCATGCGGTAAGAGACCGTGAGATAGATAAAGCATAATGCTACATTCATTTTAATGACATTACAGAAAATATGCGGTGATCTCTTTCATTGGAACGTGTGCGCGCGCACTAACAGAACGAAGCACCATCCCTGAGAGGGTCGAAATACCTTCGAGAGTTGACCACTGCACATGTGAGATTCTTTTCTCTCCTAACCACCATTCGACGTCTTAAGGCTAAAACAAGTCTCGCTTCAAATGCTCAAAACTAATTTAGCTTGTTATCGAAAGCCGGCGCACTTAACTGAAGATCAAACTGCCGTGTAACTAACCCAGAACTATCTTATACTTAAATTGGCGCCGGAAAATGTCTCGGTATTTTTCCTTTATCTTACATGATGTACATATATCAATACGTTGTTTACCACCGAATGTACTGATTTTTATCTTACTATCCTGTGACTCATAACTTACTTTGGAATTAAAGGGATTATGGTGTAGTTCAGCTGTACTAATCAAATCTCTAGTTCACTCCGCCTTTTTCTTCAGCCCGACCTTCTGGAACAAAGTCGTCATACTGCGAAACTTTAACATAGCCGTAAGAGTTATTCGTCGAGTCCTCTTCTTCCTCTTCTTTCCTTCGTTTTTCTTCCGCATACTTTGACCACACCACCGCCATTAGGCCCACGATGATGAGCACACCCCCCGAATATTCCAACGTCTTCAGGACCTCCCCTAAAACGAAATACGACAAGATGGCGCAGAACAAGACCTGAAGAGGCCAGGTCGCTGTGACAAGTGACGCAGATATCTGCATGTTACACCACGAAATTAACAAGTAGCATAACCCAGAGGCGATGAATATGGCGTAGAGAATGGGGTAGATTTCTTCCTTAGGAAAGTACGTGAATTTTTCTGGCCTATTGACGTAATAAAGAGAAGCCAAGGCCATAAACATGGCGCCAAATAGATAACTCCACGCTGTAACATTCACGGGTTTTGTTTTCCAACACGAGTCCTCTTTGTCGAAGATGAATTTTTTCTGAAGGAGGATGTACACCGACATGGAGAGTGTGTTTCCGAGAAGAAATATGTACCCCACAAACTGGATGTTACCAGAGGAGCTGGACCCCCCATGGTCTGCAGCTTGACCAGATTTCTTTTCTATAGTCATAACTATAGCTCCAGCCGCAGCTAAGAGAATGCCAAAGCACTTTCCCCAGCCGCGCAAGGTACGGAAGTCTGGATACGGCTCTATGCGCACTATGATAGCGATTAAAGCTGTCCACACTGGGATCGCAGGTTGAAAAATGGAGGCTATGTTAGCGTTGGTGTAGTAGATGCCAAGAAGGTACAGTAATTGATTTCCAAACATTCCTGTTAAGCCCAGAATGATGAATAGAGGAAGTTCCCTGGGAAAGAAACATAATGTTAGATCGTCACGGACCCAATACTAACCAGATTAGATACTTGGTTTGTTTTATTTGAGAAATAGTACATAAGTGTCAGGAAGCAGCTAAAGGTGTGTGTGCATGTAGGGGGCGGGAGGGGAGAGTTGCGGGGGATTAGGGGTTTATTATAACCAGCATTTACGGCTGTTCCCTATTATAAAGCAAGTATCCGTCACGGAGGACAGATTGCGTGACAAGGCCTCGACCGATGTCTCTCATGGAGCGAGCGTGGACAATTTATTGCGGAATGTTAGTGATATTGCCGCAATAATTTTGGCCGGCCCGATAGGTCTGTATAAATTTTGTCTTAAGGTCTGATAACCTGCCAATTCATGCGTGTTGAAATCAGGAAAACTATTTAAAACAACTGTCGAGGGGTCACTGTTCTACAGGTACCAGTAATTTATTTTAATACATCTTTATCATTCGGTAATAATAAACGACTGTACACTCATGGTTAACCTAACATCAACATCAGGGAAACAATAAATACATGATAGAAATATTTCGCTCCAAGTTTAATAAAACTCTGACAACTTCATCCGGAAAATTAAAGTCACGTGAATATTTGTTCAGTAAAGTGTAAATGTCGTGATTGAAATTCAAATAGCAGGCGGCATTTCGCTTTATTAGCTATAAAATTTCGACCCAAAACGATTATAAAGGTCATTGAATTTTACTAACCTAATGGAAGCGTCCAGATTTCTTAAATTACTGATTAAAAGTAAGTATTACATATTCATTTCACAAGACGTATGAACTCTTACCTCAGTGACGGAATTTGAATTTTCTTCTCAGAGACAAAAGCTGCCATCAGAAGAACGGGAAAACAGCCCGCATCCCGAATCAAGCTGAAGATTAGGGGATCTGCTTTGCTTTCTTTAGCGAATTTGGAAACAATGACTCCATAAGCCCCAAATCCCAGCTGAACTACAACGAGAGCCAGCCAAACCAACCAGACACCCGCCATTTTGGATTGAGTAATCGTGTTCGGTCACGCACTCCTTTGGGTAAGGCACGGGCACGAGTTCACAGCGCGTGACAGTAGCACAATCTTTCCATGACACAGTCAACTGTTCGTAAGAATTATTTCGTAAACCTCGAATCCTTTTCAGTTTGCTAGAATTAGAAGACGATGAAAATATGGAACGCAATGATGAAATCAGGACCGGGCGACGGAAGGGGAAGGTAGAGGGTGGGAGATGAGAAAATTGGGAATATAAAAGTGGTCACGAAAAGCTTGAAATAACAAATAAAAGTCAATTTAAGTTTCTAGAACTTTATTTCAAAATAGAATAGGGAATCTAAGTTATCCAACAGGTTAAAAATAGCATTTTCATTTTTATTTAAGGAGTACGTAAAATGTTTTACTTTGAATTTTATATTTGCATTCCGGACCCAGGGGAGTCGTAGTTCATTCTTAGTTTGATTTTAAAAATATATTAACCATTTCACATTAGTGTCTCGCGTGTTCACGACTTTTTCACTACGGAAGATACGTGTTTACAAACATTGATTTTGTTGTTCCAAATTACAGACCGCGAAACAGAAAAACTCTTTGTTCCAGCAGCCAATAGTTCTCTTGTTGTAGCCTGCGAAGCAGACGTTTCCTTTCCATTTTCCAGGCGGGGAAGGCGAGCAAACGGGCGCACTTGGGGTGAGCAAAAAAATGGGAGAGGTGGGGAGGGGGTGAGCAAAAAAATTAGGAGAAGGGGTAGGCGTGGGAAGCATAGGAATTCATTGTTTGCCCCACCCCCTCTCCCTGCTCATCATTTTTTCACACTCGCTCCCAGTTTCGTTCCTTTCGTGTGCTCTTGAACTACGCAGGCTACTCTAGTTGGCACATTAATGACGTCACCGCTATCTTCGCTATTTTTTTTTTGGTATAGCGCTCCATGAAAGACCAGCGACGCAAACAAATTTCCCAGTTACCAGTGGGAAAGGCAGGCACATTGCATCCTCTTTTGCGTTCAGGATGGTCAACAGGCTCTATTGCTCGTAAATTACAGTCCAATAAGCCGCCAGTTAGAGGTTTTCCAAGACAATTTCGCAGAACTAGCGAAAACACTTAGAATTGCTCTTAAGTGCTCCTATTAAACAAAGCGACACACGCTTTTTGACTGCTGTGCGCCTCAAAATTTCATCTTATTTTTAAAAAAAGGTTTCCTTTTAACAGTTTTAATTGCAGTCGGATTGAATACCTTTTAGAAAAATGTAGCTTTAGTGAAAAGGCAACCAAATGTAACCATCAGCGCCAGCAAATTGTTCAGCGGAGGGTCACGGATGGCCTCCTGCGCAGACGCTATTATGACTCGTCAGGCAATCTTTCCTCCTGTAAAGATTGCGTGACGAGCCATAGGGACAGCTTAGTTACGGCCCTCCCAAAAGGACACAAAACATATCGTGAACTACTCACAATAGTCTTGTCTTCTTTTTCTCTAACAAAGAATTCACAAAGTCTAGGGAGTCTTGATTTAAAGTTTTGTCCATATACATTTCAAAACACTTTCTCAGTTCGATTAAAGGATACCCACTATGTTGAACTTGTTGGTCCGTAACATACTTCAAGTAATTGGTCACGATTCATACCGCAATTAATATCCAATGCTAGATTACGGACTTTTCGTAACGTGTTTACGCTTAGATGCAGGCGACAGTTACGATAAAATCTGCGTCCATAAGTCTTTCCTCCTGATTGAATTCCATACATTTCTTATAAATTTAGTTCTTATAATTCACTGTGTAGAAAGCCTAGTTGAGAAAGAATTTATACTCCAATTTACCAAAACTTGAAAATTTTCTCTACCAGCTTGACACTATGTACCATTTACTACAGTTTACCAACAAGATTACCATATACCTTAACGAGTAGACGTTTTTCGAAATTGTAAACAACGAATCTCCGAAAACAATACAGCTTTTGCTGTCTACCAAAATAATATATTAAGAATTCATATTTTTCCTTTACGGGATATAACAACTGAACAAACAAAAAGAATATTGAATGTTCAACAGAATACTGAATATCAAAATCCAAGTTAATTTCCGTCAGCGGGACGGCGAAATTGCAATTCATTTGTAATAGCTCCTATATTGATAAAAAACTTTTTTGAAGGAAAATAATTCTTTCCTAATTTTCCTCCACTCATTTTAAACGATTGAAATTAAGTTCACGTTTCAATACTTGTCTCTATAGTCTTAGAGGCTTTTCAAGCAAAGCGACTTAACAAAGCCTTAACAAAATATATCTATTATTAATAATACATCATATTCACTAGAATACCACGCCAGATCCTCCGATGTTAAGTTACGATCTTGAGTGATCTCGAGTGATCTTTAAGTGACGGAGAAGACCCTGGTGACGAGGACCAGCTGGAGTTCAGTTTGGAGTGAGAAGTTTCTTCAGGTCAGCGGCTTCCTTTTCTAAAGCTTTCTGCTGCTTCCACAACACGCACTGAATAATCTTCAACCGTTCAACGGCAGGAGTGAAGCCTGGTTCAAGCTGTAGGGCCAGCAAGTAATGCTGGATGGCCTCAGGAATATTGTTCTATCATGGAAAAATACAAAGAAACATATTAACTTCATTTTTCTCTCCGGTTTCCGATTTCGATCGCCCCCAAAACGAAGTATAATATTGCCGTCTACGCTACCCTAATGGGGAGCGGGGGGGGGGGGAGGGGGGGTCAGCGTGAAATTGTCAACGACCCACGCCTAATAAATTTTTGACTACTGAGTGGGAAGGCAGCATTTTCAGTTGAAAATCCCCTTTTTCGACAGTCCACGTCCAACCAAAGAGCTATCTGAAGTCTCTACTTGGGGTAGGCTCTTCAAAAGTTCGTATTTTGATTGGGAATTCAATCTTTATGGGTGAACGAAAGGAAATTTGCTGCACGTAAAATGGCGTTTCCTGTTGTCAACATGACATGGTAACTTTTGAACACTCAAGCAATTTTTTTGATTTTCACTGGTGTTTTCACTGTCCGATAAAACTGAGGTCTAATTGATGTCTACATTAATCAGCAAACAGTTCCTATTGTAATTTCTAGTTACTATATTAGGGTCGTCACGCAACGCTTCTCCCCAACCATTGCGTGACGATCCTAATAACGGCTGCGAAGGACACTAATTTCTAGTCAGATCACGCTGTGCTCACCTGGGCTCCAAAAACATTGCCAAGAATGAAATGACCAAGAGCGAGACTGGGAGAAATCTGGAAAAAAGAAGAGATTTTAGCCAGGTACTCCTGTTTTACCTCAGTTTCTAAGACCACTGATCATCAACTTATTTCTCCTTACAATACCAATACATTGACAACAAGACAGGTGCTGAGAATATAGGAGATTATCAAATAGGGGATATTGTCTTAATGTACCCTAAATTCTTGCAAGGAAAACGGTGACAAGCGCAAAAAGCGCGACTCACGTGCTCCACTCGTTCGTCACGCAAGTTCTTTTCGTCCACGACGCCTGTAACACAATCAATACGTCACGGACAGGTCATTTCATGAATTGCTCACCTCTAAAGCCTTCTTAATCACTACAGCAGTGTCATCTAACTGGCTTTCTCGTAGCAGAATACTGGCAAGGCCGACATGAGCGACATCCTGTTATAACAACAATTGACTCACGTTAGTTAGGCAAACAAACATTCGTTATTAAACGATAAACTCTCTACAGCTACAAAAGCATCCATTTATCCTTCAGCCACTTATTAAGTAATTAAATATATCAACAATTAAACATTGCAATAGAAAGCTGAGTTATTGTGAAATCCAACTAAAAACCCAGTAAAACAGTCGATCATTTTTTTTGCGTTAAAGATTTGTTGTTCATAGTAGGTACAAAACCTCCTTAAATCGCTAATAAAACCAGGAAAACGGTATTTGACGTGATCTTAAATTCTTGACAACTTTCACATTTATATAAGTCTGTGTGAATGGTCACATTACAATTAAATCGACCTACCCTAGCATTCCAAGGAGAGTGGTAAAGAGCTTGCCGTAAACACTTAATGGCCTCCACAGTGTCACCTTGCACTCTCCAGTAAAGCGAAGCAACATTTAACAATACCCAGGATGAAGAATTCTAGACCCAGAAAATGATAATAAACATGTCTGTTTCAGTCTGTGTAACATAGAAAAGTCACTATCATTAGCCGTACAAATTTACTACCCGGTTCTAAGTTGTGATGGTGAATTAATCAACGTGACACGAGCGTGGGTCAAAGAAAAATTATGAGTTTTAAGTCGTTGCGCAAGTGCGCTCAAGCTAGGAGCGCGGATATGGTCCAAAAATTGGGTCAGAAATGCGCTAAAGCTCCGACCACCTGACCAGTTTGACTTCATGGCCCGGAAGGGTCCATCCTTAGGATGTGCCGATCGTGTCCAGCGTAATCGGTCCCCTCACAAAACGATCATAGGGCGACCTACCCCTAGACTAGGAACGAGCGGTGAAATCGGAGACTATGTTGGTCTACCATAAATATATATAGGACTTGTACCTCATCCATATGGGATACACAAAGAAAACGTTTTTGCTGGTATTTCACTGCAAAGTTCTTATTAGGAGTATTACGTTTCTTAAAACTTCCAAGTTACTTTAACATCGCAAAACTACGACCAACAAGTACATGAACGCGGGTTTACTTACTGCGCATGCGCAATGCGAAATTAGCCTTTTTTTAGTTTCTTAGGGCATGAGTGTCAAAAGGACGTTCTTAACATTAGTAAGCACACTTAAAGGATAATCGACAACACGCGAAAATATAGAAGAAACTGGCGGACCCTACTGGTTTACGTTTCGTCCAAATCTCGAAAGTTACAGTTGTAGCGAAGACCTACAATTGCAGTGGAAAGAATCAACCATGGTTCTCCCAAATAAAGCTAGAGATCACCTTTTTCAAAGCGGTGTAAATACGCGTCCCCATTTCATCAACACTGTCTTGAATTGTTCTTCCCATTGTCAATAGCGTCTGAGAAAAAAGAAAAAAGTGCGACATTTCAAGCAAAAGGTATAGATTGAGCATTCTATGATGTTCGACTGGCTTAAACATTTTAATTGGACATGTCACTGGAAAGAAATTACGACATAATCAATGTTGACGGTTACGTATTCATGTCAAGTCAAAAAAAACAAAAAAATAAAAAGAAAGCATGTCACCTAGCAACGTCTCTGACAAAGAAAACGAAAGGCTCACTTTTCGGTAACAGGAGTCTGACAGAGAGTGACGATTGAATGAAACGAAACACTTGACAACATGACGCTCAGAGAACAAACAGCTCTAAAACAAACAAACAAAATAGCAAACCTGGGTGAGACCAGCTTCAGCCACTTGATCAAGATTAGCAGCATTAACCACGCCCTAATTGAAAACAGAACACAACAATCCTCGTATACAACCAAATTGAGAATATTATTGCGCTACCACTCTCTCCCGCAACCTGCCGCCATGTCCAATAATAAAAGACACATTCAAGGCCGACTAGAAGTTTTCTACGTAACAAAATAATTGCCCAGCAGTCGAGATTGAGTGGGTTGGGGAAAGACCTGACTTAACACCTTGAGCAGCATAAAACAAAGACATAAATATTCTATGTTATATGGCTAGTTCACTTGGCTAGTTCACTTGGCTAGTTCTGTAAGAGGGCAAGATCAGAGAGTCTAACACCTTGTCAGTCTTCCGCAAGAAATTGTTTGCTTATTTTTACGATAAGTTCAGTGCTAATTTTTTTTATTGCGATTACCTTATTTTTTAATATGAGTTTAGAGTAATTTTTAACTAGGTATACAATCATACAATGATACACTAAGGCGGAAACCTTGTATTCTGTTTTAAGCTGTCCTCAAATTCATTGGATTAACTTGTTCAATGTAATGTTATTTGGAATTTGTATTGATTGAAGATTAAAGATTAAAGATTAAAGATTTAAGATTAAAGATTAAAGATAAAGATGAACCGAGATTGCCTGCTCGGGATTACCCGCTGTGTCCCGCAAGAAAATAGTGTGCTCTTTCCACACAAAAAATCCTTTATTGACCAAGCTTGTACCGTCAAGATGGCTGGATATTGGCCTCGTTCTTTTTTTGCGTGTTTATGGACCTCGACTCCGTCTTAGTTTATAAACACGCAAAAAAGAAGAACTTGGCAAATATCCAGCCATCTTGACCTCACGCTTGGTCAATAACCCATATATACCTGCAGGCTGCTGAACGTATGCAAGTTGTTCTTTATCTTTGCAGTACAGCGGGGCCTCTTGGGAGAATCGTCCACGTCACTTAAGAAGTCGATATGTGCCCGCACACTAAGCGGAAGAAAAAGAAGGTTAAATCGAAAAGTGATTTTTAAACTGACTGAATGGTAGAGACGACAGTAACACACTAATCAAACTGGGCTCGAAGCATGTAACCGACTGCAAAGCGCGGGAAACGAAATGATATATATCCTACGCAAAGAGTGGGAAAAGCTGAAAAGACGGTACACGAGCAAAGCGCGGGAAAAGCTGAAAACAAGGTACACGTGCAAATAAAGCGCGGGAAACGCTGAAAACATAGTACACGTGCAAAACGCACGAAAAGCTGAAAACATGGTACACATGCAAAGCGCGGGAAAAGCGAAGAAAAGTAACTGGTGCAAAGCGCGGAAAAATTATAACACATGTAATCTGCATAAAGCCCAGGAAAAGCTAAAATAACGTCACGAGTATAATGCGTAGAGGAAGCTGAAGTCATGTCAAATGTACAAAGCGCGGGAAAAGAACAAAAACATGTAACAGTCCGAGGCGTGCGTGGGAAAAATCAGAACGGATAAACGTAATACCTGTCAACATTGAGGAAAGGACAGTTGTAAATATTCTGCTACATTAATAATACAAGGCTGAAATAAAAATACAGGCAAAACAACCACTAACACCACACCAAGTTAAACGACAGTAGCAGTAAATAACTTACTCAATATTTTTCGTGTCCAGTGAAAGCCACGCACTAAACTGTTTGTTCCTGACAATAAGCGCCTCCACGCCTTCAATATGCCTGCACTCCTCATCACTCAGGTCTTGAAGAGAACCGTCTGTATGTACGTTCATGAAGCTTGTCTCAAACACACTCGAACCTGCGCCAACACTGTGAAGAAATTCTGCATTTTTAACTTGTTCCTTGATATTCTGCGACGCTTTTTTGGCGTCCAGTACTTGGCGAGCTTTGTAATCCGCTGTAGGCAGTTCTTGATTTACTTTTGAAGACGCTGAAACAACCGATTCTCGTCCATCGCTAGAATTTTCAGGAGTTTCAGTAATAACAGTGGTCGCCCCGATATGATCATTTGCGTTGTCAAATTTTTTGTCGCTGGATTTACTTTTTGCTGCATTTGCTTCAGCAATGTTCCCTCCGCCATTTTCAAGTACGTTAGTTTCAGGGTTTTCACTACCACTCGTCGCCGCCTGTTCATGTTGTTTGTCATCGCTAGCTTTACTTTTCGCGGAAACATCCTCAGCTGCCTTTATTTCAGAGTTTTTGTTTTCATATGTGCTCGGTTTATCGACGCCTTTCTTTACACTGGTTTCACTTTTAACAACATCTTCAGCAGAATTAGGTTTATTTTGGCTTTCTTCAGGTACCTTCGCTTCTGACGTGCGTTCGCTCGCGGCAGAATCTGACGATGTTGTCGCTGAAATTTCATCTATCGAAGTTTGCTTCATTGAAACTGCTTCGCTATCCGAATCAAATGGCGGAATATCCTTGCTCGAGCTCGGTACTTGTTTGCTCGTATCTTGAGTAACGCAATCCACAGTGAACGCCTCGCCTTTGCGCTTCTTCCTTCCAATATTCTCACAGTTCTTCACTTGGACAAGAGACTCTTTCTCTTTTAGAGGTGGTGTATGTTTAGGACCTGTAGGAAGAGTTGCTTTGATTTGTTGATGCTCAAACAGTAACTCAGCGGAGGCCATTTCTCTTGTGTTTTTGGAAGCAAAATTTGATCCCGGCCCGTTCTTACTCATTAAGATAGACTCTCCTTTTTGCTTGGCAAGTTTAGCATCTTCAACAGTAACACTTTTGGCGGTATCTTCGTTATTACGAGTTTCAACACCAGCTTCACGCTTCAACACTTTTGTTCCACTCTCGCCTCTTCGACCAGCGTTTACTTTCCTAAGTTCAGCATTTTTAAGACCGCTTTTTTTCTCGTGTGTTATTGACGAGCCTTCATCTAAAATCGGTTTGTTTGACACCGTTTGCTTCTCCTTCTCGGCTTGTTTTCCTTTATCCTCAGCGACATCCACAGTTTGCGATGCAGAATTGACACGTGTGACAGTTTTGATGACGTTCTTTAAGCGACTCAACGCGAGTCGGGCCACTTCAAGATCATCCATATTTTTCTCCTCCGCAGAAACATTAGAATTATCTGACTGAGAATTTGTTGCTTCGAGCGTTTCACTCGTTTTGCTCGTCGACTTCTCGCTTTTTTCATCTTTTGTGCCGCTGTTTTTCAGATTTGTTCTAAAGTCAGGGGAACCCTTGAAAGCTTCACTCGGTGACTTCTCTTTTTCTAGTGATTTAACCTGCTGGTCCGTGCTAACATTTTCTTTTCCGTGGTTAGAATCTTGTTGAGTATGAGTTGACTTCCCAGCTTCTGAAGTTTTCGCCTGACTTGCATGTTGCTTTGCTTTACTATTAAGTTCAGGAGACATATGCACTTCCTAAAAGGTGAAAAGAACTGAATTTCAGTAAGGTTTTCATCGGTGAACAATGAAACACCGTTAAGTTACAAGCGTTGTGATTTAGCAATCTTTTTTTTTATCGCTTATTGCTGCTTTTAAATGACTGCCACTCTTTGCAATACTTTCCAAGGGTCGTTACTTTCCAGAGAGTCGCCACTTTCGCGAATTGCTAACAATCATTTCAATTTTTTTGCTGTTTCCGTAAAGGAGTTATTTTCGGGGCTCCTACCCTTCAGAACTTCATACTATTTCATCAAGAAAGACGTTTATTCACTGAGGGTAAAATAACAAAGCCTTACCTGGTTGACGGGAACAGATCTGCTCTTACAGGCGTCAGGGTTCTTAGGCAGCCCCTCTGTTAGCAGGTATAGTCGATTGAGTTGCCGCTTAAACGTTTCTAGAGGAAGAGCGAGTTTCTTTTCGGCTGCTTCACTGTTTGATTCTTTCGGTTCATCCAGCTCAGGCGTTGTAAGGCTATCCAACCTCTCATCAAACACTCTACAAAGAAACAATGTTTATTTTTTTTATAGGAAAAAAAAAACACCAAACAAACAACAGCGAGCTTTATCTACGAGTGGCTACGAGTTTGAAGCATCAAGAATTTTAGCACAAGTTTTTTTGCAGAGAATTAGGCCAAACTTAGATCGAAATGAAAGACAGACTCACAATTGTCGTTCCTGTAAAAGCTCTTTCAGTTTCAGCTCACATCTGACCGATTTCAAGCGCTCACACAGCAATTCCGTGTCTGGTGATACAACCATTGTAAACTTGTAGCACAATTCAGCCATTTCATGCAGTTTCAAAGACTGTAGAAAAAACAAATTAAAAAGAAATTATGTTCGCCTTGTTTGCCACTCTGACGGAAAAAAATATCATAAGTGAAAACAGGTATGTATTCTAGCTATCATGTTAAGTTTGAAAAAAAGCCAAAAACAACAACAACAACAACAAAAATGAAAACTTGCTTTGAATATTGCTTCCAAAAGATCCAACATACATGTAAGAGTGCCTCTGAATATTTATTATTTGGTTTGCCTTTTTTTGTGTGAGAGAAACAACCAATCTTTGTATAGCTGCTTCATCAGTATGGAAATTTTCAGGTTGAATTTCAGATGCCTTCTAAGCGGAGGAAAAAAATCAAAGAGAGACGTCTTCTTGTAGCACTCTGGTACCCAGGAGCCCTACAAACATTTTATCAATATGGTCTTATCTATCAGCCTGCTAAACGACTGAGCATCGAATGTAATGCACACGTAAGGAAAAAATGGAAATGAAAAGAAAGATGCACTCACAGCGTAGAGATTTCCCAGTAGGAAGTGATAGACAGAATATTCCTCACAAGTGTCCATAGCAGTGTGAAGGAGAACTATCGAGTCAAGGGTGTGGTTTGCATGGTGAAGGACTGCGGCAAGACTCATCAGCGCACGATCTTTATGTTCCCTGAGAGGAAAAATAAGATGATGTGATATATAAAGATAATGTTTAGGATCTGCAGTAATTAATGAGTAACAGCAGTCTACACTGAGTCTGGATTCACACCCTGTGCTTTGTTTTATATGTACATAAAAACTGTAAAACGAATAAGAGGAATAATTAGCCTGGTGGGGGTCTTTCATATAAAAAGGGCTGAGCTGCTCTTCATACCTTTTAGGGGTTAAAAAAGCAGTTTTGGTATCTCTCAGGGTGTTCAACCTCAAAAGGTCCAGAGAGGGAGCGTTTGCAGTACCTTTTAGGGTATTGAACCCAAAAAATATGACAGGAGATAAATGTTTGTTTTAGAATTGGTACCCCTTAGGGATGAAAATGTCAAGCCACACCCACAAAGCAGGATCTTGGTACAATTACTGGCAAGCATCACCGTTCCTTTTATATGGGTGCCCCTCCCCCCGGCGGGGAACTCGTTGCGGGTGAAGGTATGCCACCTTGCAACTTTTCCATCCAATCCAATAGACCCTAATCATAAAAGGCATTGAAATTAGCCCAACTAGCCTCGTTTGAGAGTAAAAATACTTTGAATTATCAACTCAAAAACGAGGTTAGTTGGGCTAATTTTAAGACTTACAAAATAATTTGTAATTGGCAGCCATTTATGAATAGGGTCTATGGACATTCTGGATTTGAAAATTCAAACACTATAACTTTTTCAACTCATTTACTTTCCTTTTCTATCACTGGAATATTGCATCCTTATTTACATCTTAGTGCAAGTGAAGTACATGCATTGGTCTTAAATTCTGTTGTTAATGATTAGCTTTTATTGTTAACATTCCTTTATGTTTGCCTCACCTGGGCGAGAAATACAAAGCCTGTCTTAAACACTCAACAGCTTGTGGAGCATTTCCTTTAATTCTCCAGTAATATGCAGCAAGATTGAGTAGAACCCAAGAGCTGGAGTTCTGTTGGAAAGAAACCAAAATGATCAGTATTAAATGTCAAGAAATGGTGGCAAAGGGCAGGATAAAAAAGGCTTTAGAGGTTGAATCCTAAAAAATCTTGAGGCAGTTCCAACAGATGACCTACAGTGTATGTAACAACTTTCTAACAACAAAGGTTTGTAATGAGACCATAGTGGCAGTTAATTCTGTTATTTGCTGGCATAAAAAATGCATTCATTGACCACAGGGGAGGGAAGTGCCAGCATGAAATTGTCTCACTTGTAGAATATTCAAGAGTTTTTCAGTATGGACACTTGAGCTATGAACACTTGACACTTTTTCCTATATACTTTTTTAGTGGAGGCGCAGCAGCCTCATGGTTAGTGCGCTCACCTTCGGGTCGAGTGATCTGGGTTCAGGCCTTGGCCAGGGACATTGTGATGTGTTCTTGGGCAAGACACTTTACTCTCACAGTGCCTCTCTCCACCCAGGTGTATGAGTGCATACTGGCAAATTTAATGCTGGGGGGTAAAATAAATAGAAATACTCCTAGTGGCTTCATGCTACAGAAACCGGGATAAGCTCCAGCCTGATGGGCCACTTGTATGCAGACTATAGAATGAAGGCTATTCATATAATGTACAAGACAAGCATTTTTACAGACGAGTATAAATATGCTAAATGCTACTAATATATGAAGAGCCCTCATTTTCTCATCACTAAAAAATTGTACAAAAAATACTCAATGTTAAGTGTTCGTGGTTCAAGTGCCTTTACACATGTACAGTAAAACCTAACCCTGAAATTTATATTTACCTTTTGTAATGCCAAACTCACTTGACCTCCCAACTCTTCCACAGTTTTAAAATAAGACAAGGCTGTCAACAGTGTTGTCTCTGTGGTGGCATTCAGCTGATGTCGACAATTAACACCCTCAAGATGGTCATAGCTGAATATAACAGTGGGTAAATCAGCACGGCAGATCGGTGGTTCAACATTTGAAGGCAGCGACTCACAAAGGTTGAGATGGTCTGGTATGCTGACATGATTAACAAACAACAGTCATTATTAACCTGCTCTTATTTGTAAATACCCTTCAATGCATGAACTAATCCCCCTCAAAATTAATCTTTAGTTTGACAAAATGCCCATTCATACCATATTATATTGTAATTTCTAATTGGTGGTTCAAGTTTGTTTTAAATGTTGCAGTTCCTCCAGCAATTGGCATTGACAAACAAATGCAACAAACAAACAATACAGCATCTGCCATAAAATGTCAAAATACTTGACATACCCATTCATTCTGTATGTTATATATAATTTCTAGATGGTGGTTCAACGGGTTTGGGATCATGTTTACTGAAGGCAGCCGTGGTTGAGTGTCAATCGATACCCTCGATGGACCTGCAATCGACACTAGATTGACATATTGATTGACACTTGATCGACATCCTGAATGATACTCAGCTGACACTGGGCCAACAATCGATGTCAAATCAGAAAAACAATAAATAATTAGAAGTATTGTTTTTTTATAACCTACAACTTATAGTTTCAAGGGGCTTCACAGCTCAGTGATAGAGTGCTAGCTTATTACTTACTTGATGCCTTTCTTGGAAAATGGAAGAGTCATGTCCAAATGCAACTCAAACTCAGAAATGTGTCTTCCTGCATCAACACAGTCTGGATCCACTTTGTAAAATGATTTTTTCATTTCTATTCTCTCTTTCTCTCGTGCCTCTATCAATTTTCTTTTTTCTTCTAGATACTCTTCTCGTAAAATCTTCAACCTGTCAGATGCAGTCTGTTGTTGAATAAAGGTGACAAGGTCATATGGTCGTTTGAGATTGAAGATGGAGTCAACCTAAAAACAAGTTAAGCACAAAGTCAGCACAATATCAAAACTACAAAATTGCAATATTTAGAGAGGAAGCCATATCAGCCTTAGTAGGTTGTCATGTAGGTCCTCTAACCTGATTGGATCAGAATTTGGAGATGTTGGTTTTCGTGGAGGGAGGAATTAAGACAGGAGAAACCAGAGAAAAACCCTCGCAGCAAGGAGAGAACCAACAACAAATAAACTCAACCCACATATGACACCGGGGTGGAATCGAACTGGGACCACACTGGTGGGAGACGAGTGCTCTCACCCCTGCACCATCCGTGCTCCCCATATTCATGGCTACAGTTTAATCTTTCAACAGGCAGTTTCTGGATGCCAGTAGATGAGGTTACAAGTTTGACTTCAGCTGGGAGAGTTTTAATTAAGATAGTTAGGTAGAAGGTTGCATTTGGGCCAAGCTGAACCACTCAGCTAGAACCTACAGTACTGCCCCTGGGTGGAACATATTAGTTAGATATCTCCCCTGTAGCCTTTTTCCAGATGATGTACCCTTAACTGGTACACAGTCATACCCCTTGGAGAGGGGTGCTGCAAGAGTAAAGTGTCTTGTTCAAAAACTTTATGCAATCGCCCTATCTAGCATTTCCACTTTGACAGTTTAATTGGAAATTATCTAATGTGCCAAATGTTAGGCTACAAAGCCTTTACACACACTCTTTATTTTTATGACAATGTTGAAAAAAAACTTAATACAATAGCCTTCTTGTTGGGAAACTCAGAAATTTTTCCTGAATAGCTTTGATCACTAACTGATGAACAGTACACACTTAACTACTGGTCCTGAGGAAGACACTTACTTTTGTTTTCCCAAGAATCTTGATGTTTTCTTATACTAAGTTGAAGGAAATATTAAGATTTGAGGGAAAACAAAGGTAACTGTTTCTCACGAGACCAATGTCTAAGTGTTTTGGTACATAGCTGGAGTTAAGTGTAAAGTAATAAGGCAAGAAGATGTCAAAGTAACCTCTAAATAGTGGGAGAGCAGCAGGAATTGCTTAATTGTTGCCCAGCGGGCCACACTTGGATTTAGCCACTGCCACGTGACCATCAATCAAGCAATAAGAGTGCACATTAGATTCAACAAAGCTCCTACTATACAAGTCTTTATTTCACTTTCTATTCCTAGACTGATTTCTGATGAGACCAAGCAACTGAGAATTATTTTTGGCATTGTTTGATGCACATTAACAGTAACCCAGTGGAAGATAATGTTAACAAATTTTATATCGCTTAATTTTAGTGAAGAATTTTCTTTTGTGGGTTTAATAAGTGTAATAGTTCCTTATTATAATGTTTGGAATGAACTTCTTAATGAAAATAACAAAATAACAACATACACTGTGCTTAATATTTCAGTTTTTAATTTCTTAAAAATTTAGGCTATTGTCCCCTTTTCGAGTAATCATTATTTTACACACACCAGGTGGAGGTTCTCTGTTCATACTATTCATACACAAAGCTTAATATTTCTCTGCAGGGTAGCATTTCTAACATAATCTAGAAAGCTACCGAGAATGTTTGCCACGTTTCCTTGAAAATATTCTTTATCAACAGAGATAAATAATTCATACTTCTGATTCATTCAGTTAAAAAAAGAAAAAAAAACAGTGTTCACTGTTAACCTAAGTTGAGAGCATGAATTTAGCTAGCTTGGTTTTAAATACACACGATCACATCTGCCTGACCAGCTTTTACACGTCCTGTCATAGAACATACGATCAGTCACAATAAAAATCAAATTACGTACACGATCTTTTGGTTAAACGTCAGGCTGCCCGCAGAAAGTGAAATCAAAGACACGTACAACGACAACTCAATTAAAAAACTGGGGTAATTATAGCTTAAGGTTATTTATTCAAACTACATGAACGGCGAATACGGGTAAAACTCGTGAATAATTTAATAGATAATTGTTTAAGTGTTGTACCTGTTGTTGAATTCTTCCATCCTCCGTAACGATCCAGTGTGTTGCTCCTTTGCAGAGTGGTTGTGACCATAAAATTCCAAGGGAAATATAATAAATTAGTGAACTAAAATCATACATTTTCTAAAGTGCTTCTATCTGCAGACGCTTCCACCATTTTCGAAGACGTTCTGTTTGCTAGAACCCAATCCCTTCTACATTATGCATTGTAGCTCGAGAACGAGGCCAAAGAGTGTCGCGTTACCGCACTGGCGTTTTTTCCGCATAACATGCCATGCCTTACAATTTTAGGCTTGATTCCAACAAAAAATATATATATGGCACACAAAACTTGCAGACATTCCGTGGAGGAAGTAATTCAAAACGTCTTATTCCCAGTAATTTGAAATTTTGGTGTTGGCCCGTAAGTGGTGGGGGGGCGGCGGGAGGGGGGAGGAGGGTAACTCAACAAGTTTTAACGGGGACGTAGAAAAGGTAACATCTTCATATACCGTTCATAGAAAATGCCTACCTACAAACCTTACCTACAAAATTTGCCGATTCATTTGAGTGCTCTCGCTGTTCAGAACAGTAACCCTCGAGAGAGCGGCGAAAAGGAGCCTACGGAAACCCTCCCCTTTCGTGTACCTCCAGCCTGAAAAAGAACCCCTTTCCGGTGGAGTTCCCCAGGAAGTCAGCCCCAGGGGATGTTAGCGGCTGACGCAATGTTGAGAATACTGTCTTTTTTTATAGCGCGATTCGAACCTGCCACTCTGACGATTGCCGTGTATCTGCTGCGCGACATGTAACCCACTGTATGCCTAGTCAAGTACTTCCGGAATTCCTGAACAATAAAGGATCAAACTGTGTAGTATCACAAAGTTGTTGTTAACAGCTGCCGAAAAGTCAGTCACCGAAAACAGTTCTTTCTGAACCACCCTAAGCCAGACGATCACACTACCAATTTAAAGCGTATTTTCTGCCAAACAATAGCTGTACTCCGCGTTTCCAACACACGTATTTTTTTATTGCGTACCATTCCTGATCTATAACACACGCTGACGTCACTGCTATATAGTTCCCCATCTAGACTATCACTAACCTCAGTTCTTCGAGAGAAGCCATAAATTATATATATCAATTTTTTTTTTAAATTACCCTTTGTAGACTTCCTCGCTCTCAATGAGAATGTATGTACTTTTCCTGACAACCATGATATTGTGTACAATCTATGTATCTTGCGTCCGTTGTTTCATCTCAAAGACGTTCGAGGATTTGTCTCAGTTGTCTTAGGCAGCGTCCACACTAAGCCGCTTTATTTCTACGGTTTGACCTACCGTCCACACTAATCCGTCACGACAACGGGGCTTTTCGAAAACGCTATTCAAACCGGAGGAATTTAAAAACGTCAGCTTTTCGTTTCCGTGTGGACGGAAAACATTTTGAAAACGGAGCTTTTCGAAAACGATGGCGTCACGAAAATTATGTGAGTTTTCCTCAAACACAAATCTAAAATGACCATTGATTGTTACGTTTTCAAATTTCTCCGGCATAGTGTGGACGGAAAACATTTGATACGTTTTCAGACTGAAACCTCCGTTTTCAAATTGTATTCCTCAGCGTATTATAGACGGGGCCTTGGTTTACTATGGAGATGTAACGAGAGTTAGGTTTCTATCGAAACCAACTCTTCTTTAATCATAAGGAGTAAACTGTCCAGTCCCTTCCTAATTCATAATTGTTGCTTTCGAGACAGATGTCGGTTGAAAACTCCCATAAGAACTCCACACGCAAACAGTGACATCATGAATCGAAAAGCATCCAGTGTTGGGACGATTGAACGAAGGTATTTGATTGCTTTGTACAGTCGTCCTGATGGGCGTTCGGGCCAAGGATCATTCTGTGAGAAAAATAAACAGATACTTCAGAAATAGGATGAGAATGAGTTGAGAATGAGTAGAGTAAAAAAAGAACGCGTAAAACGTAAAACAATCTGTCGCTCCTAAGTTGTTTTCAGAATTACCGTTTAAAGGTCATTACATGCCTATTGTATTCAATCAATCAATTAATCAAACGGTCGGTCAGTCAGCTGCTGAGTTACCGTCTGTTCGTTCGTCCGTCCGTCAATCAGTCAGTAAGATAGTCAGACAGTCAGACAGTCAGTCCGTCAGTCAGTCAGTCAGTCAGACAGTCAGTCAGTCAGTCGGTCGGTCGGTCGGTCGGTCAGTCAGACAAGTCCTTCCGTTCCTCAGTCCGCCCATCCGTCCATCGACATAGCACTGAACTTTACGAACCTTGGCCCAACCATACTGATTGAGCCACCTGATCAGTGAAAGATCATTCACAGCCACGATTGGCAAGTACTCTCTAACACTTTCTCTAAACCACCAAGTCTTTACCAGTCTGCACGGAAAACACAAGAAACAGAAAACAACACAGAATTAGAACCTTTTACAACTAGATAGGTGCTACGTGGGCAACGCCGCTTGGAAATGAAGTTCAGTAGCAGAAGGTGAACGTCATTACTTCCCTACCGTCCAAATTCTCCTTAAGGGCTGCACAACGCTTTATGTATGTTAGTTTTGAGAAATTGGTAGCACATCAACACAATGTCCTCAGTTCTATTTTCGTTTGCCATGTCGGCTTGACAAAACACACTGGCGAGCCGTCATTAATTATAATAATAATTATAATAATAATACCTCTTATTGTAATAAAGCCAGTTGTACATGATGATTTACGTCTCTGCACTATCGACTAACCTGTTGTTATGTACGACATCAGACAGCGAGGTAATATTTCTTGGTAACTCCGTGTAATGGTACTTGTAAAGCCACGCTCTAATGTAGATAGGGGCTCTATGAGGAAAAGGGTTTTTAGCCAAGAGATCCAGCACGTCTTGTTGTCCCTGGAGCAGCCTGAAGACAAGATGAACGAACCAGGGGTTGTATTCATAGCTTCCGAGCGCTGCAAACCATATCTGCCAGTCAAGCCGAGGCTGGTGAGGGGCTGAAAAGGGACAAAACAGGAGAATACTTTCCACAAGAATTACACTAGCAGTAACTGTTCTTACTTTGGTGCTTTCCGATGATTGGCTCATAACACTCGTGAAACACGCTCTCGTTAGCCAATCAGAACAAATGTGTAGTCTACACTGGACTACGGTGACTTTCCCGCCCTTGGCACCGGTTGCACGTATCCCGCCCTTGGAACCGGCTGCTCGTTTTCCCGCGCTTGTCACCGGCTTCACGGTTTCCCCAACTTCGTTCCCAGGGCTTGACGTTTTCCCGAGCTTGGCGTGAAAACAAACAACGCCACAAAAAAAACAAAACTTACCAACTATTGGTGGAGGCTCTGAAACATTACCAGGTTTGTAATGAAAGTTGTATTCCTAAAAAACGAAAAACAACAACAACAACAACAACGTAAGAGTCACGTAAATAAAATCTTAATACTAAAGTGGGTTAGAGTTGGTTTCCAAAGATTTTCAAATGTAGTTCAGTTTGTAAACCAATATACCGTTCTCAGTCAAAAGCTTAGAACTATTAAGTTCGCTTACTTCGTGCCGGTGAATAAGATGCAATTCTATTTTTACACTTGTCTGTTAACTGATGGAAAAAGTAAAGAAATAAACTGCGACTGCCATTTTTTCATTGGTTACACAGTTCAGATTCGTTTATTATGGCATTTTGGGACGGCATCTTCATATTAAACTGAAACGACTACAATGCCAATGTTCCTGTTTTATGAATGCCACAAACCTTCAGGTGCAACATGAAAGTTAGGTAGACAAATAAGAATTAAAACTCTACCATCCATGGTCCGTCACGATCGTTGCTGCCTTCTATGATGACTTCCGGTCGTCCACCAACACCAGTCATACTAGTAGACAAGATAAAGAAACGATACGTGAAGTTATTGCTCCAGGGGTTTCATTAGTGTTTTCAACAAGACATGAGTCNGTGCAAAGTTTAACTATTTTCAATTGACTTATTCCTATAATTTGTATCACAATTGTTTGGACCTATAGTATCATGAGATCCACGAAGATCTCAGACATCAGAGGTCAAGAAAAGGACGAAAAAGACCAGAAAATGGTGTCACGTCTGCCACGATTTGATTATCGTTTTAAAGACTCTATTTACTATTTACTTCTAGTTCAAAGAACGTTCACTTATCACGGAAACCTTATTGGTAAATCACGCATCACGTGCTAGTAAAATAGCAAATCACGCATCACGTTATGATGTCCTGTCCCGCGTCACGCAGCCCTAATTTGGTCTCAATCACGCATCACGCTGCTAATTTTGAGGCGATCACGCGTCACGCAAAAACCCTCTGCCACCCTCTTTCAAGAGCAAAAGTTAGAAAAGACACCAAACAACAGTACGATTCATTACTGGGCCAAGCCACCGTTAAGTCATGTTTAAAAAACGAGCAGCATTATTTTATCCAATTTAGAACACGAGGCGTATGAACAGCTTCAAAAACGTTTGTGGTAGATCTACTCATTTGTAGAATAATCCTGGGGTTATTATTATTTTTCTGGAGAAAGTCGGCTGCAAAATTTAGCCGTGTCTTTATCAAATTAAAGACACTCATTAAGCATTCATTTCTTTTGTATTTCCTCAAAGAATTATTAATGAATTTTTGAACAATGCTTAATATCTTTTCAAGAAAGCAAGTCACCTTCTGAATAATCCATACGCATTGACGAGTTCAAACGCATCTGTCTTCTGACGCCATCTTTTTATGACAGGCCATAAACTCGACTTTGCATTGTGGCTGATATCTGTGTAAGGAACCTGAAACAACGCTTCATTACTATTTATTTTTAACGGAAATCGCTTCTTTTGGCAAATCTTCCACACAAAGGGAAAAGGTATTCAGTTATAACATCATGTCTTGGTTACACTCTGGAACACTGGCCGATTGATTTAGCTAGTTAACTTAGGTAACACCACCCTTTATGATAATTTGGTAAAGAAAATCTTACATAAGCTACTCAACCAATCCGATTCAAATCCAGAATTAACAGTAACCAACCTTTGCCCGCGTTTTCTGGGTGTGGTTTACTTGTATCTGCCTCGTGTTCTCATTTGTTTATCATTATGTTGGTTGTAGCGTTTGACCATTGTGACTGCTTTGAATAGACCTTTCTCGCATTCCAAACAATGGCACCGAGTCGAGGTCAAGGTGGACAAAAATACAGCAAATGTATGAAAATTTCCACCCCAGTCTCGCTCTGGTACTATTGTTCGTACGCACTGAAGTGGAATGCGGGAAAGGTCTATTGGTTTTCTAACACTTGATGAAAAACCGGCAGCGCTCTTTTTCGCCTTCCACATCAAACAGAACAGCTCAAAAGAAGTACCCTTTGGCAAAATTCGACCCACAGTGCAAGAAAAAAAGCCAACAAACAAAAGCGATGATGAATTACTTTCGATACTCATTTAGCAATAATAAGGGAGAAGTACAGTCAAACCTGCATCAAGCGGACCCCATATTAAGCGAACACCCTCTATTAGGCGGACAGCAGTGCAAGTCCCATTTTTCTTTTCCCACATTCACGGTAAAAAATATCTGTATTCAACGGACACCTCTATTAATTAAGTCGACGCGAACATCTTAAACTTGACTTTTATGGTCATTTCTATTGTTAGAAACCTGTATCAGACGGACACCGCTAAAAGAATGCATGATATTTTTGTCCACGTTTTAGTATATACATAGAGCGTTCATTTAAGTTTGCCAACAAACTGAGCTGTCACAGAAATGCAATATTTTGCTATTCGGCTTTGTTTTTACAGAACTTTTTTTCTTGTTTGATTTTGTGAACCTTCACATGACTCGATCAATATAGATACTGTTACTGTATCCTTAAATCACTTTACCTCATATACTTGTCATTGTTTATGGAAATACGGTATTTCAGAGTTCTCGACCGTTCACGAGAATGCTATTTGACCCTTTCAAGGTCTATTAATACAGTCGAACTACGATTATCCGTACCTTGATTATCCGGATTTCTCGATTACCCGGACTTTTTCTCTAGTACCAATTTTGTCATGAATATTTATTAGTCATGATCAAGATCCGTAGCAATATTCTTTATAAAACTACAGCATTGAAAAGTGCAGTCAAAAGCGAGTTTGCTTTGCTTTTAAAGAGCAAAAGCAGCACACGCACATGTCGTAACTAATCAAGAACACTCAAATGAGTTCTGATTGGCTCAAAGTTGAGTGGTTCAAAATGTACAGTAAACCATATTGTTTTCCAAGCAATTTGTAAAAGTGTTGTTTCACGATTAACTGTTACTTTATTTAAACAGATTTGTTCTTCATTAATATTCATATTTTCGATTATCAGGACCCTTGATTATCCGAACTATTTCGTCTAGTCCCAACGAGTCCGGATAATCGAGGTTCAACTGTACTGACAAATATTAATATGACCCTTTTAAGACGCATTCCGAGGACACCTGTTTTTAACGGTCGCCCTGTATTAAGCGGACATTAGCATGGGCCCCGAGGGTGTCCGCTTCATACAGGTTTGACTGTAGTTAATGAAAACAGTATATGGATTGGAAAGGTTGAGATAATTTATGTAGTACTGTTAGATCTTTTAGATTCTAATCCTTACCAAGCTTATAGCAAACATTCCAAGAGCTGCAAAACTAAAGATTGCCCACTGCAGTAATGACCACAATTTATTGAACACGCCTTTCTCCATTATGCATCTGTGAAAAAATGGCACATATGATTAAGAGTGAATGACCCCCTCAAAACACAGTCCAACTGAAATACACTTAGACAAAACCTAGATACTGGATGACATATGTTTAAAATATTTAAATTTGAATATCTTTGACAAAATGATACAAAATAAAAAGAGGTTAAGATGACAGCTCACCCAATCATTGAAGCAATAATTTCTACACTCAAAGATAAAATGCCAAGCCATATGGTGAGTGGGACAGCTTGATCTACAGCTCTGAAGAATGCACCCTGTGAAAAAGCTGACAAACAAACAAACTGAGCACAATTTATACCTCAGTTTTGAAGAATCAGGGAGTCTACATGTAACTAAAACCATGTAAAAATAATTTGACCAATTAACAGTGTACACTGTAAAAGTTGCTGTATTTTTGTGACCAGCTGAAGTGAATTAGTGTAAAAAAGGAAAAAGTGAGATTAGAAATAGCCAATTGCATGTACAGCAGCTCTGTCATTTAGTAGGAGGCATAATAACAGAAGTGGCAGACGGCAAGTAACGTACTGTAGGGTAAAATTAAAGTCTACATACGAGCCAAGTGGCCCAGCAAGACAGAGCTTATCCAGGTTTCTGTAGCATGAAGCAACTAGGTTAATTTCTACTCCCTGGCTTCAGAGACAAGCACACCAACCATGAGGCCACTGTGCCTCTACAACTGTAGGGTAGGGCCGTAAAATTGGCTGCTGCCCCTGAGGTGGGGGCACTCTCATATAAAAACGATGGGCTGGTTGTCGAAATTTTGAAAAGAACCCCTAAGAAGTACCAAGATTCTGTTTTGTGGACGTGGCTTTTTTTCCCCCCCTAAGAGGTATCAATTCTTACATAACACATTTATCTCCCGTCATATTTTTTCGGCTCAATACCTTAAAAGGTAACGCAAAAGCTCCAGCTGTGGACCTCGTGAGGCTTAACACTCTATGAGGTACCAAACCTGTTTTTTCAACTGCTAAAAGGTACGACAAGCTGCTGGCACATTTTGACAGAGCTACTGGGTGCAAATTATAAACACAAACAAATGTTGTACTTACTTATCTTTGACTTTAAAACGTGTTTGGGAGAAAGTTCTAATGCAAATAATTTGACTGTCCAGTAGATTACAGTTCCTAGTGTTCCAAATGTGACAATTCTCCTGATCACCTTTGTCACTTTACTTCTTTGGGCTGATTCAACATAGGAGCTTCCAACTTTAGGAGAAAGAGAGACAGTGTAGGCAGAAAGAGATTTATTCACAATGAAGAATGTTACATTGATACCTGACTATCATAAAACACTCATTCACCACATGTTGGATTTCACTCTACTTGCTCAATAAGTAGCCAAGACAAGTGCCTATAATTTCCTGTTCTCCCAACAGATTGATTTTCTCCTAACATAGTTATATAATTGCTTTAACATACAGATGAACGGTTTTGAAACCAGCCAAAGATGTGTTTAAGATTAGAGGCATCTGACAGCCAAAAAATATAACTCCAACTGAAAATAATAAACTAATAGCCTGGTGACTTTGAAAGGCCTTAATAAAGTGAATGCAAGTTTTCTCACCAAGCCATGATGGCAGAATTGTGACCAAATGCTCATCATCAAGAATTGCCAACAAAAGGGCAATTGCCAGAAGGTTAAAGAAGTTGTAGTTCCCAGTAAGAATGATCAAGACTTGAAAGAAGATCTGATGAAAGCAAAAAAGAAAACAACATGACAATTCATAATGTACTTTGCAGTTGAATTCATTTTTATAGACACCTATAGGTATTATTAATTTAACCATCTATTTATAGTGGATTAACACGAATTTTGATTTCAGTTTTGTATTTTTTTGGTGATGTTTTCTGTTTATATTTTTTTCCTTCAGTTTTGAGCTTGAGTAATCTAAAACTGCACAAAACACTAGAAGTGACAAACATATTTTCATGCAAGAAAAATTGATACTTTAGTTAACATGTAATCCTGGGCTAGTGTTAAGTGGCTTTCAAACATCTCAGTTCAAGTGTTTATATGGCCAGAGTTTGGTGGCTCTGACATTTCTAGCTAATAATAGTAACACAACAAATGACTCCTGACCAACTGTCATATAAAAAGTATAGAGCTCTAATTATAAGGGGAATTATACCAACATCACATAATACCTTTGGGTTTTATTTTACATGACCAAGTGATATTAACCACCATGCACATATTTAAAGTCACCCACTATCAATAATAATTTTACTGATATTTTTTTGCTTGATAATGCTAACATGGTATTAAAATACCTGTGAATAAAATGAAAAGATCCTCAAGGATCGCACAGGAACAAAAAACAACCAAGACAATGCCATCAAAATTACATATCTGAAATTAAAAAAATAATAACAAAAAAACACAAAAAAAATAAAGCTCATTGCAGAAGCTTTAATTATCTTTTGAACAAAAGGACACAATTAATTCTGTATTGTCAGCAGAAAAAAAAAAAATTGGGGGACTACACATTGTATGTTGATACTTTCCCCACAGAAGGGATTGGAATTTGCTGGGGTTGGTTGGGAGTGGGAGGGGGAGGGNGGGGGGAATCTGTAGGACCAAACAATTTAAAGAAATGTATGAAGCTTACTAAGTCTTGGAATTTCCAGAGTGCTGGGAGGGGGGCCCTTAGAAAAAAAAATCCGTTCCCTGGGGGAGGTATGAATATTTTCTGCAACGACACATTAAAAAGACTAGATCAAACCAAAACAAAATCAAAAGAGTTTAAGGTTTCTTCAACTGTCATTAACAGTATCATCATCAGTAAGTGGGCAGCGAGTGATAGCAGAGTAAGAAAGTACGTAAGAGTTGGTATTATCTGTCTATCAAATGGACAAAAACTCAAGTTGACTGGGATGACAATATGAGAGATCATATTTGAGTTTCTGGACTGTGTTACCCTCTATACTTTGATCTACCTTGATTGCTGAAGATAACCTTTACTAAATAGACTAGTACTACAAATAGTGCAGCCATGTTACAAGAACTGATAAGCCCTGACTGATGGCTACTCACGTGAGTACTATACTGAGCCTTTGAAACCATTTTGGAAGCTGATGAGCATACCAAGCCAGTGGTGTGGGAATACACTGCAAGCAAAGGGAAATGCTTAAAGTTTTTAAGACCATTTTTTCTGTTTTGCAATACTTTCAGGAAATAAAGAAATCAAACAATTATGTACACTCTTTTCAAAATTATTCAACAAGGCTGAAGTTGTTAGCAAACATCTTTCTCACAGTGAACATCATCAAAATAAACAAGGAAATTTCTTTTGTTAGTTTAAAGCAAAATCTTGGTTAAAGGGCAAAAGTCACTGAACTGAGTACAAGACTGAATCACAATATACATGTACCTGTGACTCATAATGCCAGTCCAGAGCAGTCAATCCCCACCATGTGGGACATCTACTGGAAAGTTTAACAACTCCAGAACAGAACATCAACCTGAATGCCAACCATTTCACTAACCACAGAGTGATATTATCATGGTGTCGCTGAAATCTGAAACAGTAAACTCAGCATCAACATCACTGAAACCAGGTTAATTTCAACACTGAAAAAGACCCAGCCCAACCAGCGTTAAGTGCTGAAACCATATTTTTATGCTTTTTTGTTCACTGACTACCCCACATACTTGTAGCTTTCTGTCAATGTCTCTAACTATTTTATAAGCTTAACATTTTTTTTGAATTTATTACTAGACTCAAAGTAATCAAGACTTACTTGCTATTATGTGACTTGAATAGATTCAGATTCAGAGGAGATACAAGGATTGTCAAAAATCCTGTCTCCATGAGAAGAATATCCCTGAAAAAAAAATTAAGTTTAAGATTTTTAAAGTAAAACAAAGACTAGCGTTTCTTTACTTTCTAAATGAGATCCAAATCTACCGTAATCTCTTCTAACAACACCACTGAAAAACTGTCAAGAGACAGTTCACAATCATTTGCGATGTACCACCAACTGCGCATAACTAACAATAAAAAAAAATGCAAGATGACCAGTAAGGAGAATTAGTAGTTTTCAGAAGCATAACATACCATTGAAAATACACAAATGTCTGTCCAACCTGAAAATAAAGGAAGACTTTTATTATCTAATTTGATACCTTTATTTGATGCCCACGCTTTTGCATGAATTAAATTATGAATTTATGCCACAGACATTCAGCTTTGCCATTCATGTGTCCAGTTGACTCTTCTCGGGGAGGAAGGTAGAACGGACACGAGAGCAGCAGAAATCCAGCCCAGCAAATCACATGAGCTGCAACTATTAGCCTACTAGGTTATTTAGTTAATATTGAAACTTTCTTTAGAGAGATAAATTTCTTTTACCTGATACAAGGAAAAGTAGAGAAACCAAAGAAGAGAAAAGGTGATTGAACCTCTAAAGGCCTTCAGTGACATGGCCAGTAACGAGAGGAGCATTCCAACCAAGCACAGCAACTCCATTCCTGTTTCTGTGTCCAGTCCAAGCCTTGGTGTAAACCATAGTAGTGTAGGCTTGCTCCAGAAGTTTTCCTCCATTGATGAGCTCACTAAAGAAATGTTTCAAATGTTTAGTCTAAATGAAACATATTTAAGTTATTTTCTGAAGACCTTCTACCCATGTGAGGAAAATTCTGTCCTCTTTTTGGATAAGGAAGGGGGAGGGGGAGGAGGGTTGTACATATCAAAAATTGGGACATTCCATTTCTTATGTGAACCTTCCCCACCCCACACCCCTTATGGAGGGTAACCTCTGGACCAAGCCCATCAGAAAATTTCTCAAAGGAGCTGAAATTTTGAATCTCTTGAATGCAAACTTCAGAGGTGCTGACCACAAAAAACTAGGCTGTTGGAATCTGCCCTCCACAGGGAGGGGAGGGGGGTGCAGACACAAAAAAATGGAATGTCCCATTATTGAATGTCCCAATTTCCAAGACCAAACATTAAAATAAATATTTTAAATATGTCTTAAGGAAAGTATATGTTTCTGGCTAGCTAGACTGAGACTTTAGAAGCCATTAAAAGAGAAACAATCATTCGTCGTAGTTAACACGTCCCACGTGTCAATTACAATGATCCACTTTGAAAAACAAAACAACAGTCTATTCATCCCAAAAGAAAGCGTGCATTCTAAGCTTTCTTAAACAGCTGGCCTCCAGCTACTTAAGCATAGCACTTCACTTTTTTTCAGACGGCTGTAAAAAATGAGATATAACAACAGCAGAAACTATCACGCGTCGTCATTTCTTACCTTCTCTCAGGGCAAGTTTGGCGGGAAGAACTCCGTTTCGACCATAGAGACCTGCATTGTTGTCGCGCATAAAAAATTAATTTAATTTCTCATCTTTAAAAAGAGTAACGAAAACTTAGAGACCAAAGTAAAAAGCACTAACCTGGTATCTGAACGTACAGAGAAGAAAAAGCGAACAGATATATCGCAGACATAAACCACAAAAATACATCTCTTACGAGCACTTGCTTGCCGTAGCCCGCCATTTTGGATTTCCCCTGAGTCACTGGGGGCATATTCACAAGTCACTTCATGTAAGCATGAGCAAGAAACAGCTGAATGTCACTTTCATTGTTCTTTGACTTCTCTAAACAATAATCTTTGGCGCCCAATTTGAGATGACTACTTTGATATTTAGTCGTGTTCTGTTGCATAGAAGACAAGTGAAATAATCTTTGAGTAGAAAGACAGATAGAAAACCCAAATCGGATCCATTATATCTTGGCTTCGAGCGAGATCGAGAAATGTATGGCGGCTGCAGGTACGAAGCAGACCCAACAGGTTGTTCGACAAAGTTTTCTGTGGTGTATGGCAGCCATTTACTTATTTGCTTTTACGTCACTGTACGTGCAAATACCAGGTCAGTAGATTTGTTGATAAGAGTATTTGTTGTACATCAGTCCGTAGATATCTGAGATATTGACCTTATAAGGTGACCGTGTAAACTCAAAATGCAGTGGCGCTGGTGTGCGCAAGCGAGGGGGTGTTCGGGTCTAGGCGAGGGTTTATGTTGCTCCCCCACTAGCACTTCCTAGACATCCACAATCCAACCGCTCTGGAATGTTCCATAGTTATATGTATGTAGCTCCAACTCAGTGGGTTTTTTTCGTTGTTATCAGTTGTTGTTGTTGTTTTTTTGCATGGACTAACAACTTACCAGAGGGTACAGATCAATTNCCCCCCCCCACGTTAAAATTATAATGCCATTTCTGCTAATTCCTCCAGCTCTCACCTTTGGCACCATCTAGCCTGTTCCAGGCTCAGTGAATGATGACGAGTGAAAAAGTGGGCAAGTGGAAGAAATACAAGGAGGGCCTGGGAGAGAAAGTTTATCTCTTCTGGAGCCCCTTGTTTTTTGTCCGTTTACCTACTTTGTCAATCTGATTCCCACTCATTGAAAGCCTAGAAAAGATTTGAGGGCTGTCAGGTCTTGATGGATCATCATGTGAAAGGAAAAAGTATAGTCTTGTCCTTCCAAATGTGGTTTATTAACTACTTATTAACTGAGAGTGAGGTCTTTACAGGAAAATCTCAAACCAAGACCATGCCATATTGACCGAGTGATAGCGAGGTCAATGCTGCAAGACTGAGGTTTGGGATTTTCCCATGAAGACCAAACGTTTGAGGTTAATAAGTTGTTTATTATATGGCTTTTTGCTCTGCCTTTGCAGGCCTGTAATAATTGGCCCGTTGTCATTATGGGAGAATAGTGCCCTACAGTTAGCCAGTTAGAGCACACATTAGATCAGCTACAAACACAAGCCATATAATAATGCTATTATATTACACAGGTCTTTATGGAAATAATGGAATTCTCCCTGCAAGTTACATATTGCACAACTGTAAGTTCACAGGTTACAAATAGTACTTTTATGATGTTTTCACATGCATTTGTTAACCATAATGAAATATTGTTGAAAATAATAGTAATAAACCCACAAAGATGCTTACTTTATTAAGAAAAACATGGCAGAGTTACCAAGTTACATTTCCATAAGTGTCCTTGCTTTATATTTCAGTATCATCATGTACAGATAAGAGTGCCTCATGTTCTTTGTGGGCTTCTTCAGGAGAGTGCGACAGAAATATAAGATGGATGACGGAGAACTGTATGAAGTCCTGTAACAGTTGCCATGGTAACTTGCTCATTGTAGCTGTATGTATCACCTACCAGTAATTAGTTTGTCAGTGCAGTAACTAGACACTAACCAACTCGAAATGTTTCTGCACATTCCACTGACTGTCATCTCAATAAAATTGTTATTATAAGAAGATCACTCATGGCAAAAGACAACCAATGGCTACCTCTCCAAAGTGACACCAAGTCTCTATGGATCATGTGTACTAAAGGCATCTTTGTTCGAGTGTTGATAGATACCCTGGATTGACACTCTATCAACATCAACATTCAATAGTTGACCGTCAACCAAGATGCTGATTAACTGTTGACCGAATATCGATGTAGATGTTGATTGAGTGTTGATCAAGATGTCAACAGAGTGCCGATCAAGGGTTGATTGAGGGTATTGATCGGCACTGGACTGTGGTTGCCTTTAGTGCGCATGATCTTTCTCCACAATGAAAAGGGTTTTTTTGTCTAGTAACCCAATGCTTATCAACACTTCAGCAAGTTCTTGGCTGGCTCCTTTACCTAGTAAATGGACACTTAAGTATTGATTTGCCAAAATGTAAATGACGGCAGTTTGAAACTTGAGTTGTTATTGGTTGTTTTTCCTTAGTTTTGGACACATCATTCAGCTCGCTGTTTAGAAACACACCCACGCTTTTATGGATGACTCCATACCTAGGCTTGGACACGCCCACTGGAATGGAGTTCTTATGTGTCATTGGCATTGCACTGTCAATTATTCTGCTTGTGTCCCAGAGATGCAGGGACTGCTTGGGATACCTGACGCTATGGTTTCTTTACTACTCCATGCTACCTGTAAGTTTTGTTTTGTTAAGTCTTGATTTTGACTGCTGTAATGGAATGCACAGTTTATGATGTAACTAAAAAGATTTCATTTATGACCTTTTTGATAGGTTGGCCAGATATTCCTACGATATCAATGGTAAATAAAACTTAAATTGTATTGTACATGTAAACTCAGGGCACGAGAAAACTAAATTTTTGGGCTTACCCTTCCGTCTTATCCCATAGCCCAGAGCTTGTGCCTGATAAGCAATTACAGAAGTGTCTCAGGAAAATTTTATGGAAATTCAAATGACAGAAGTACTGTAAGAGATTAACTTTCTTTGGAGCTAGTGAGAATGGTTTTTGAACTATACTGTCTAATACTGGCCTTCAAGCTACAAGGCCTTCTACCAAATTCTCAGTACTGTCAATTTTCCAAACTGTTGTTTAGGGATGCACTGCTATGGGAATCAGGTTTTCTGGCCTTCTTGGTTGCCCCTTGGAACATTGTTCTGCTTCCCTGGAAATGTGGCAAATACACGTTATTTAGGTGCAGGCGCTTCAGGTACAGTGGAAGTATTTACTCATAGATAAATAATCATTCTTAAAGTCTGTCTGTATGTCCATCCATTGGTGCATCAGTCAATAAGTCCGTCAGGCATGTAGAAGGAGGCAAGCAGGCAGGCAGTGGTCAATTGTCAGTGTTCACTGGTCAGGGGTCAGTCAAACAGGCAGTCAGTCATTAGTCAGTAGTCAGTGGTCAGTGGTCAGTGGTCAGTGGTCAGTGGTCAGTGGTCAGTAGTCAGTGGTCAGTGGTCAGTGGTCAGTGGTCAGTGGTCAGTGGTCAGTAGTTCTTAGTCCGTAGTCCGTCATCAATGGTCCGTGGTCCGTGTTTCGTAGTCCGTAGTCCGTAGTCCGCAGTCCGTAGTCCGTAGTCCGTTGTCCGTTGTCCGTTGTCCAGTGTCCGTTGTCCAACGTACGTAGTCCGTAGTCCGTAGTCCGTTGTCCAACGTACGTAGACAGTCACTCAGTTCCTCAGTCCGTCAGCCAATGAATGGGTCAGTTAGGTTGTCATTCTCTCACTTAGGGGCTCAGATGGTTCATGGTCTATTGGGCAGACAATCGGTTGCAAACTTTTTATTTCGCTGCGGTTGATTCATGATTTTTCCAGCTCTCGTTTGTCATTTCTGTGTCTATTGCAACAATGACAGAAGTGCTTGGCTTTACTCCCAGCAGAAACACCTCAAGGCATCATGACAGTGTCAACCTGTGGTTGGTGAAGTGGCTTTTATTTCGTTTGATGTTTGCCTCAGGAGTTGTTAAGCTGACATACATGGACACAACATGGTGGGATCTCAGTGCACTCAACTGGCATTACGAGTCACAGGTGGGAATGAACGAACGAAAGAACTTTACTAATCACAGAATTCAAACAGTTCAACACTGACTTACACAGACGCTGTGGGAAGGGAATGGAATACAATATAAAAGAGTAAAATAAATCCTTTTTCATCCTCTCCATCACTGATAATACTCATTTTCTAATGGTTAAATGCGCGCTTTCGACTCATGTTTTTATAATGTTGTCAACTTCGTAGTTTTGTTGCACCGTTAGACTTGCTACAAACTTTCACGATTCGTTGCCAAGTATGATTAAATACTAGCCAGGTAACTCAAAACGTTTCGAAGAGGATTGCCACAATCTTTCCGAACATAGGAAAATTTGGTACTACTCCGAGCAATTCATACTGTTAAGAAAATGTTACACGACGTAAATGACGTACATTTCATAAATTTATGTCACGTTATTAAGCAATTTCGCTTGCAACTTGTGTTACAACAAATTGTGCGTGCAGGCTCTCTGCGTTACGACGTGTTATTTACTTGCAATGTTGACAAAGATATGTTCTGTCTAATTTACAGTGCATCCCCACTCCAGTTGCTTGGTATTTCCAGAAACTTCCCGCTTGGTTTCACAGGCTCAGCGTTGTCTTGACGTAAGCGTACTTGTAATAACCTCTTTACACATTTGTGTTTTCACCTCTGTTGATGTCTCAGAGCTACAAAACTTCTTTTAAAAGCTAAAATTCACCAGAAACATACCCTTTTTTTCTCCAATTGGCTGCTTTTGATTTTGAGTTTTTGTCGGCTCAAATCCGATCCGCTGTTCTCACAGTTTTCTTTTTCCTAGATATGTCATCGAGATCGGAATCCCTTTCCTGGCGTTTGCTCCTGTACGAATTCTTCGTGTGTTTGTTTATTGTAGCGAGGTAAGAAAGATTCACTTACAAAAACTGTGACCGCAATAACCAGTGAAAAGCGCGGGAAATGTCGCGTTACCTCACGTTATGGTGGCTTTGAATAACAACCTGATTGGTTAAACTGAAACAGAATACCTTCGCACTGATTGGCTAGGTCACTTCGAACAACTTTCATGAAACCAGGGAGCTTAGTGGTCAAATAGCGGTGAAGTTCAGTATTGTAAGGACATTTTTAGGAAAGGGGAGTTTGGGAAAGAAGGCAAAAAGTTTAATAGTGGGAAAAAAAGATTGCAAATATAGAGGTGGCAGTTAAAAAAGACTGTCCCGTTACTTTCTCCCCCCAAAATTACTGTGTAGCCCAGAGCAGAAGGTCATTAAACCTTCCTTCCGAAGCCGATCTTGCTCTTTGGAATCTTTGCTTCATGTTGGTCTTGTCATTTTTTGCAGCTGTCACTGATCCCTAGTACAATTTCAGGTGTTCCTGCAGCTGCTAATCCTTCTCACTGGCAATTACAACTTCTTCAATTTGCTGACGATCGTCCTGTGTGTATCATTATTGGACGACAAGTGTATTCTTTCTCGCATCCAATGTTTCCTCTGCAAAAGATGCGTGCGTTCCAGTTGTTTGAAGGCGGCAAATCAGCGTAAGTAACTATGTCACGGTTTGTGCATCTCTAAAAGTTTAGCCTAAACTTTTCAAAGTCATCGTTTGTAATCCGAGTCAATCTTCTCCATCCTTAACCATTCTTGTTCCTTTATGGGTTTATTATCATCTATTTAGTGTTTTTCTATCTTAGTAAACTATTATTTTCAGGGTGTTTTTTTCAGTTTAAAGGTAATTTTGTACGTGGGCAAAATAATTCAAAATACCGTTCGTTGAAAATGCCTGTAAAAATTCAGAAGAGGTGTCAGATCATTACAATCTACTTTGTGAACTCTTAACGCAATAATTATGTTGCAAAACGAGAGCGCATTTTCACATGGAAGTGCATTGTCGCAACGCAACAAAACTTCAATACAAGTTGCCTTTGAATTCCCGATTCTTGTTTCAGTTATTTTGAGCCTTGCGTGCGATCTTTAAAGCCTTTTTAGGCCCGTCCACACTACGGCGGAGAAATTTGAAAACGGAGGTTTCACTCTGAAAACGCAGCAAATGTTTTCCGTCCGCACTACGACGGAGAAGTAGAAAAACGCAGCAATCAAAGATCACTGGTCATTTTGGATTTGTGTTTACGGAAAACTCGGTCACGGAAATGGCGTGATTATCGTGACGTCATCGTTTTCGAAAATCTCTGTTTTCAAAATGTTTTCCGTCCACACGAAAACGAAAAGCCGACATTTTCAAATTCCTCTGGTTTAGAGAGCGTTTTCGAAAAGCTCCGTTTTCGTGACAGATTAGTGTGGACGGTAGACCAAACCGTAGAAATAAAGCTGCGTTTTCAAATTTCTCCTGCGTAATGTGGACGCTGCCTAACACTATAGTATTTTTCTTTTCACAATTATTGTTTTTCAGGGACAAAAACCAAGACTCACCCTGAATATACAGAAGTCAAACAAGAGGACAGCTTGGATGACGTCGCGGAGGAAAAACCACACTTGAAAAAAAGTAAAGGTAAAATTCAGTCGGGTCTTTCCGCTAAATTCTTGTTGTGATAGAGGCACTGTATGACACATACTGAGTTATTTCTTTCAGTTGCAGATGTCGAGGAGGCGAGGAGCAGTGTTTCTAAGAGAGCAAGTTCTATGGACGCGACCTCTCAAACGAAAGATAAAACTGGCCCAGGTTAGATTTGAGTGTCATATTAACTTCTGGGCTCTGTAGCCCGTCGTCTGCCTTTTTCCCGCCAGCAAGAAGAGGAAGCTTAGCTAGCATTAGCAACGTTTTATCTCCTGAAATTTTGGGGCAGTTAATCTAAGCTTCGGGTAGTTTCATTGTGCTTGCTTGTGCTTGCTTAGCTGAGTTTTGCCGCGTTCAGCAATGCCCGAGCAACCAGAGCAAACAAGCTGGGTTTATTAACCAATCAAGAGCAATTTGGCTCATGCGCCGCGTTTCTGGCCAGGTTGCATGTTTTTTTTGTTTTGTTTTGTTTTTTTTTTTGAGTTTTTATTGGTTCATGGAATTACAGTTTGCGTTTGGTATGCCAGGCTGGTCAAATAACTGGGTCGGATACTTAGCTTTTCTTTTTGAGAGAAACAATTAAACCCGCCCTGTTTTCATACTCTGGGAGTTTGTTGCTTAAGGGAGTTACGTCACGGCTTGTGCATCTTGAAAAGTTTGGCCTTAATTTCTCAAGTTCGTCGTTTGTAATCCGTTTTCAGTCTTCTCCATCCTTAACCATCCTTGTTCCCTTATGGTTTATTATTATCTCTTTGGTGTTTTTCCATCCTAGTAAACAACTATTTTCAGCTTTCCTTCAAGTGAAGGTAATTCTGTGCGCCGCCAAAATAGCTCAAAATACCGTGACTGAGCTCCTTATGTTGTACTGCAACGATTAAAAATAAACGGTTCTCTAGTCGGGCGGTTTTCTTTTCCTCTAAGTTTAACATTTTTTTCTCGCTCATTCCTTCTTTAGAAGAAACTTCAACAGCCTCCCAGCTCGTAGAATACGTCCTAGATTGGATGAATACGCGTCACGAGAATTCCAAATTCACTCGAGCAAGAGAATTCCTGCATAGCAAGATGTTTGGCTGGATCAAGATGGCCGCCATCTCAATCTCTTTCCTCGCTGTGTTGATAGTTATTATAGTCTGTACTGTCAAGTGGTTTGGTATTAAGGTAACAAAACAGGAGCCAGTCCACTGTGAAACAGGTAACTGTTTTATAATTCCCTGCTGTAATTTAACCTAGCAGTGTATGGGGGTAATCAGTGAAAGATCGCAAAATAAAATTTACTTGAAAATTTGTCAGGAATTACGAAATTACTTTTTTACTGACCTTTTTTTATTGTTGTTTTTGTTGTTGTGGTGGTGGTAGTATCGGTTGTTGTTGTTCTTCTTCTTCTTCTTCTCCTTCTGCTTCTGCTTCTCCCTCTACTTTCTTTCTTAAGTTTTCGCTGAACCAAACTGTATTCAATTTTTCAGCATTTACTGCGGAGCAGCTTGTAAACGCCGTTCAAATCGCCACACAGTTTGCAATGTGGATAGGCTTTTTGTCTCTTCTCGTTGAAATACTGGGAGTCATCATTAGGTAAGGACTACGCCGGCTCCATTCTCTACTCCGTGTCACACGTGATGCACACGTGTTGGCAACATGTAAGAAGTGCGGCACGCGGAGACTGGAAGCCAGTGCGTGTTCGTCCTTCTTGTTCCCACGAGTTTTTCTCTCAATTTCAGAACAACGTTTTAGTTCGATAGGGAGTATACTATCTGTCTTCACTTCCGAAAAGAAATGAACCCTTCACTCCAAATCAGTTTCCACAGTCAGTGTTATTAGAAAGGTGCGCGACAAATAGAATGCCTATCCTTGTGAAATAAAATTGCCTACAGCTTTACTTCCCAGCATACATTAGCAGTGACGCGCTATAACCAACAGAGCTAGACATTTTCAGAGCTGGATTTGTCTCGTTTCGTGTTTTAGATGTCTATTGGAGCAGTGTGGTAGACGCGTAAAATTATGGCAGTTGTTCCAGTGTGTTGTCTTCTCTGCTGTCGCTTTATTAATGTTTGCTGTTAGCTTGGTGAGTAATCGATTAGCTTTGATTGACTGTGTTAGCGCTTTAGTTCAAAATAAATAGAGTACTTTTCAGGTTTTTGGTGACCAAGAACTGCTAGTGAAGGTCTTAACTTTTTTTCTCTATTTTGAGCAATAACTGTCAAATAACTGAAATGTTATCTCATTATTGATTTACGTACTGAGTTGCTTTTAGTAAACTACGAATGACAAGAAACAAGTTTACAATTTTTCAACTTTGTGTCCAGGTTCGGCAAGATGGCGTTCAACTATTACAGCAAATTGAGCGAGTCTGACTGAAACGCTTCGAGAGCGCACTGAAGACTTGGCGAAACAAGCGTTTAACTGGACGATTTTGAAGAATTATGGCAGAACTTAGGTCCACAATAACTGTCATACCTATTGAGCCTATTTTTGTTGTTGTTTTGAAACGTGTTTTGTTTGTCTAACCAAGTAAAAACATCATCATTGTTGTTGATGTACAATCATCTTGAGCTCTATCATTATTGTCAACAAAGTTTTGTTATTTATTCCACCCGTAGTATTCCTTCACAGCAGTCGATCGTGTTGTCCAGCGGAGCCTTCCTAAAACATTTGTTAATCTGTATCGAGATACTGCTTACCTGGAATTGACCAATGCGTACGGCCTTTTCAGGAGGTAAGTAGCCCTGTTATATAATACTTCACTGCTGTTTGACCGCTGAGCTGGTGGTTGCTTCTTGAAAGGTGTTCGAAGTCAGTTGACTTGAAGTGACCTAGCCAATCAGAGCGAAGCGAAGATGTTCTCTTTTTTAACCAGTCATGTTGTAATTCAAAGCCACTGTAGCACAATATTTCCCGCGCTTTTCATTAGGCAATCGACCTTCATCATGTCAAATTCTCGATCTTTTTGCGTTCCGCGCCTAAAGGAGAAAATTGACTAGTCCTAGCCCTGCTCCAATAGTAAGGCCGAGTTCGGCAAGAACCAGTTCTAACTAACTGATGTGGAACCAGTTGCGGACTGACCGGATCTGACCGTACAGTCATAACCTGTAAAGACTTGACAAGAGTCGAGCTCTACTGCTGACTTCAGCCTACGTGCAGACGACTTTACTATTTCCTTTGTTTCTATTCTGACAGCTTACTTACTGTTGATTTCTGTGTTGTGTTTTAGCATGACTGGGGTTGGTGGTCGCCCAGAGCTTATCATCTTAGGCAGCAATTCATTAGATGGCCCGTGGAAGGTAGGATTCGATACATTTCAGGGTACATTTCAAAACACTGTTCTGTTTTGTCCGAAAAATTTTTAAGATGATTTGACTCCCTATTTCAGGAATACAACTTCTTATACAAGCCCGGGAATATTTATCAACCGCCCCCTTTTGTTGGTAAGTATTATGCAAGATTGTCACTTGGTTACTGCGCTAGGGTTTAGAAGTTTGTCTGAAGCGCGGGAAGCGACAGGTCCAGGCTCGAGTCCTCAGTGGCCAGGGACATTGTGTTGTGTTCTTGGGCAAGTCACTTTACTCTCACAGTACCTCTCTCCACCCAGGTGAATAAATGGGTACCGACAAATTTAATGCCGGGAGATAACCTGCGATGGACTAGCATCCCATCCAGGGGTTAGTAGAAATACTCCTAGTCGCTTCGTGCTACGGAAACTGGAGATAGGCTTCGGCCTAATGGGTCACTTGGCTCGTGTTCAAACTTAATCCTTATTTTACTTTTTTCTGCATTTCTAACGTAGCTAAGAGTTTTCTAGAATACGAGACTTGAGCCAAAACCGAGAAGAGAGATGTTTTCTGCATATCTAACATGGCTAAGAGTTTTTGAGTTTTCCGTGAACAGAGAGGTTTTAATCTTACATAGGTTGACAAATAGCTTGTGCCCTGGGCCACGCTACATGTAAATTTTAACTTCAGGTTTTATATGAAGTGAGAAGCACTGAATTAATGTACTATGAATCCAGAACTGATTTAATGAGATGCATATCATGTAAATAAAGGAGGGATTTTGAGGGAGAATAATTAGTCATGGATGCATGACTGTTGAGAGAGAAGTATGTGTTGTAAGAGAGAAGGGAGAAGTGTGTGCTGTGGTAGAGTGAACGAACCGCCCAACCATTCGGGTGGTATCGCGCTTTTAAAGCGAAAGAACAAAGGCAAAGCCTGTGAACCAATGAGAAAGCACTGACGTGAGTGACGTCAAACGAGTCAGACGGGGCTTCTAACAAGCATTACATTACAACATAATTGTAAGCGCAAGAATTTCGCTTGTTTTAGATCTTTTGTTTTTGTTTCTTGTAATTAGTGTTCTTTGTATTTTGTCTTTTATTGTACTTTTTTCTTAGTTTTTATTCTGCATATTGTAAATAAATACTTTCCACGTAAAATTTAGTGTAGTTCAGCAATGTTCTGGTGGCCGAGTTCCGGGCCATTTGTTTGTTAAAGTTAGCGGTTCGATTTTAGTTTCTTTTCGTCTATCGTGTCGTTACATTCATCTTTTACCGCCTCGCTTCGTTGGCTCCGTTTTGGTTTAAATAAATTCCTGGTTCTGACAAGCCTTCGATAGGTGTGTGTTTCAAAAGCGTTCGCGACGACAATAATTCCTGTCTACAATGAATTTCGAATTTCTTGTTTTCCCTTTTTTCTCCCTCCAGCACCGCATCAGCCTCGCTTGGACTGGCAGATGTGGTTTGCAGCCTTGGAGTCGTACAGTGAAAATCCTTGGTTTCTTAGCCTGCTTCATAAGCTTTTGTTAGGACAACCAGATGTCTTACATCTTATGGGAAAAAGCCATTTTGGTGAAACTCCCCCAAGGTTCATCCGCGCTCAATTGTACTTGTACCATTACACACAAAATACCTCCAGTTTATGGCAAGTTTTATTCCATCCAAGGTAATCATGGTGCGACAGTTTTTTTCGTTCTTACTGACAAACTAATTAAGCTTGTTCTTAAAATCAAGACGACACTCTCACTTAACTAAGGCCTCGTCCACACTACGGCGGAGGAAGTTGAAAACGGAGGTTTCACTCTGAAAACGCATCAAATGTTTTCCGTCCACACTATGCCGGAGGAATTTAAAAACGCAACAATCACCGGTCATTTTGGATTTATGGTTGAGGAAAACTCGGGTAGGGAAATCACAATCTTATTGTGATGTCGTCGTTTTTGAAAAGCTCCGTTTTCAAAATGTTTTCCGTCCACTTAAAAACGCAAAGCGGTCATTTTCAAATTCCTTCGGTTTGAAGAGCGTTTTCGAAAAGCTCCGTTTTCGTGACGGATTAGTGTGGACGGTAGGTCTAACGAGAGAAATAAAGCTGCGTTTTCAAATTTCCACGGGTTAGTGTGGACGGGGCTCACTAACTCTCATTCGTGCGCAGGCGACTGTTAACTTCTTTGTTAATGTTATCCTCAACAGTGGTGAAAAAACTTGGTGGACCCGTGAGTTTACAAGAGAATACTTGCCGTTCGTCGTCAGTAACAGCTCGTTGTCAACTTTGGAAGGCATGTTACAGAAGCAAGGAATTTATAGGGTAATGAGTCCTAACGAGAAAATCATTCAGTGTCGGGATTTCAGATAAAACTCTTTGTCTAATGTAAATAACTTACAGTTGGTTGAAATGAACGACCGACCATGTAACCGGACACTAAGAAGCTAAATTGCTCTCGGTAAATCGATCGATCGTCGATCGATCGATCAATCAATCAATGGTAAATATTTCTCTGCAGAAACACAGCAGTCACCGTAAGTCGGCATGAAAAGTATTTTATTAGAAACCTGTCAATTTATTGCATTAGCTCGCTTGAAGGTCTAGATTATAATTTTCATGCTTTTACTTTCAGCCTAATTTCAAGCCAGAGGTCACGTGGGGCTTTCTGTNCCTTCGGTTTGAAGAGCGTTTTCGAAAAGCTCCGTTTTCGTGACGGATTAGTGTGGACGGTAGGTCTAACGAGAGAAATAAAGCTGCGTTTTCAAATTTCCACGGGTTAGTGTGGACGGGGCTCACTAACTCTCATTCGTGCGCAGGCGACTGTTAACTTCTTTGTTAATGTTATCCTCAACAGTGGTGAAAAAACTTGGTGGACCCGTGAGTTTACCAGAGAATACTTGCCGTTCGTCGTCAGTAACAGCTCGTTGTCAACTTTGGAAGGCATGCTACAGAAGCAAGGAATTTATAGGGTAATGAGTCCTAACGAGAAAATCATTCAGTTTCGGGATTTCAGATAAAACTCTTTGTCTAATGTAAATAACTTCCAACTGGTTGAAATGAACGACCGACCATATAACCGGACACTAAGAAGCTAAATTGCTCTCGGTAAATCGATCGATTATCGATCGATCAATCAATCAGTGGTAAATATTTCTCTGCAGAAGCACAACAGTCACCGTAAGTCGATCGGCATGAAGAAAAATTAAGTATTTTATTAGAAACCTGTCAATTTATTGAATTAGCTCGCTTGAAGGTCTAGATTATAATTTTCATGATTTTACTTTCAGCCTAATTTCAAGCCAGAGGTCACGTGGGGCTTTCTGTACCCGTTCATCCGGGACTTGAGAAAAGCTCACAGACGAGTGGCCCCGACCACTCTCATCAATGCTCTTCTCTTCACAGTGGTCACGTGTCTTGTGCTGAAGGTTTGGTGGAGGAGGACTGGAAGGAAGTTTTGGTGAGACACTTAGGTCGTATTCTATTGGGATCAACCGTCTCTGTTTGGTTGGGTTTGTTGAGTCGTTTTGTCTTCTTTTGGAGAAACCCGTTTTCGGTTAGTTTGGTTGATCAACTTTTTCAACCGGCCTCAACCCAGGTTGAAACGGTTGAGAAAGCATTGGCTTTGACAAGACACAGAAAGCTGCCTTGAGCCCATGCGCCTAAGGACGAGGCAAGGGCGAGATGGAATAATTTTATTTTGGAAAGCTTTTTTCTCACAGAGCATTTACTCTATCATATTAATTACCGAAGAAATGGGGCTGTAAATTGCTATGTTTTCAGTTTAAATAGTTTGAACCTGAATTGCTATGTTTTCAGTGTAATTAGTTTGAACCTCAGTTTTGGTGAATCAAAGTTTCAGTCTTATCAACTCATTTTCTCCCTCAGCTCTCTTTCCTTAACAAGCGTTCAAGACAAGAGAGACAAGAGCAAGCCACCTTCGAGAAACGCTGAACAGAATGAGCAAGAGGGTTTGGTAGAATCCAAGAACAGCAAGGCAACTTGTGGTAAATGTGTCCATTGTGTTAGCTACATGGATAAATTGCGTGCGATGTTCAAGGAAGCGCGTAAGGAAATTGCGATTTGGTGTGGGCTTGTGTACTGTAAACTTCAGGAAAATTACCAAAGATTCAAGGCTCTGTGGAAGAGTAGAATGCCTTCTGTTAAGGTACGCTAAGTAAACTGCTGAAAACAGCAGCGTAAATTAGACCAATTAAACATTAAAGCCATATACCTTCAGGTTTTCCGCTCTCGAGGTATTCTACACTTTCCTTGTCTCTGAACATCTGTCAAGCGATCGACTAGCCTGTGTTCCCAGGACGATGGAAAAAGCGGGCGGGCGACCAGCGGGGTCTGGTATAGAAAAGGAGAGGGCGCTTCCGAGAGTCTGAAACAGGCTAACGATCGGCTTGCGCGCGTGCAGTTCCCACCAAAACTGTCGCTCCCCACTTATTTTTTCTTTCTCATTTTCTGTTTCACGTTGTTGTCCTTCCTTTGTCATCCAGTTCATTGACTGTTCATGTTGTATCTCTTGCAGAAAAAAGCCTAGATTGAAAGAAGCACTGAACCTCGTTTTCCTCTCAAGAATTCGCCAGGGCTAAGCATCCGTGCCGTCTTCCGTTGCACAGNTCACGTTGTTGTCCTTCCTTTGTCATCCAGTTAATTGACTGTTCATGTTGTATCTCTTGCAGAAAAAAGCATAGATTGAAAGAAGCGCTGAACCTCGTTTTCCTCTCGAGAATTCGCCAGGGCTAAGCATCCGTGCCGTCAACCGTTGCACAGTAAATGGCGACAGCCGATCTACCATTACAAGCGTTATTCATCCTCGGCAACAAGATAATGTGAAGTATGGTGTTCTCTTGAGCTGACAAAGCTCCAGACTACCCACATCCAAGAAGGTGCAAGAAACAAAGTGGTCCTCACTCCTTTTACAACATACTTGACTTGATCAGTCACAAGAACAAGATCAAGAGAACAAGAAACCATTTGCTGATTAGAGACCCATCTACTAGGGCTCATCTTGTGAGCGCAGAAAACAAATGCCTCTTATAAATGCATAAAACACCAATAACAATTTAATTTATTTATTCATAGTATTTGAATTTTTATTTAAAAACAAAGTGAATGGAAATTAAAAAATAAATCTTCTGTACAAAATGGAAAGAAAATGCGACAAAAAATTTTTCTTATTTTTTTTGTTGTAGTTTTCCCTTCTATAAGTGTCTTTTATGCATCTCATTTCTCTTTCCTGTTTGTCGTTTTTCCATTTCTCTCCTCGTTTTACGCTTTGAGCACGAAACGCAATCTTCCTCCCCGAGCGTGACGAGCCCAAAGAGCGATTTAGCAAACTGAAAAATCCGGAAATTTCGGTTGAAAGTCAAATGGAACAGTAATTTTCCGAAAAATCCGTTCGGAAATTGTGGAATACCTCCAGACGTAGTCCTCTTTTTTCCTTACCATTTAGTGTCGAATTGCAAATGGTAAGCGCCATCTCGTTCGGTTGGTTTGTTGATTATGGAAAAACCCTAACCATTATTTAACGGTCATCCCAACCGGTTTATTCTGACAAATGGTAAACACCCTACGTTTCCTGTTTCCTTGTATGCTATTCTTCGTCAGTTATATCTTCACTTGTCATTGTGGAATCAGTCAGGTCTTTTGCCTTATATTTAGGATGTTTTCGTAACTAAGAGGACATATACAAAACGTATGAGGGGACATTCCAAATGTAGCTCGTTCTCTTGAAGATGAAACTTTGCAGGAATTGTCATGACAATGATCTACATGTTAATACATGTTACCAGCGCCACCCCGGCCCAACGTTGCGCTAAGAAAATCACAGTAAATTACGTCGATACATTTGAAGTGACCTTAGCTTGCAGTGCAGGCGTATACCAATACAATACCATTTCAAACAAAAAGTAAAATGACGCCTGATGGCATGTTACGTTAATCTTCAGCACTTGTTCACTTGTTGCCCCTGCTTGTTGCCTAACTAAAGTGCGGGAGCTCTGGGAGCGAGATTAGTCGACTGCATGCCAGCGGCCTTAAAATTGGCGCATGCTCTCAATTCTGTAAAATGGCGGGAAAATTCTTCGTTTGCTTCTTGAAACTTCGGTAGTCATGTTTTGGTTGAGTTTTGGCTGAATTTGTTCCGTTAATCATGCCCGCTCAAGCAGCCAGTAGTGATTCAAGCGATGTTGGTAGCAAGTATAGCCATTTGCTCCAGCCGATCCGTGATCTGACCAAGAACTGGGACGTAGATGTCGCGGCTCAACTCGAGGAGTATCTGGCAGAGGTGAAAATTGATTATTCCACTTGAAATTTTAAATATAGGCTAAGCTTAAGCTTAAAAATTTTATTCTATAGTCGTTTAACTGTCTAAGTAGCTTGATAACAAGAAACGTAAAATATTCTTTGCGCCTCACTAGCTCGAGATCGATAAACGCACTTCCACTGAATCGCTAAGCTATGCTTGCCTTCGAGTCCCATGAGATGTTGAAAATGCTTCCAGATTACAGTGGCAGTGTTGTTTGTTTCAGATCGAAAGGATCAAAATATCTTTTGATGGAGGAAAGACAACTATGAATTTTGCTGAAGCTGCTCTGGTGATCCAAGGATCAGCTTGTGTCTACAGTAAGAAGGTATAAAAACTAACAGCTACTATTGAGCTGTCTGTTTATCGAAGGTCAAGAGTTTGTCTCAGTATTTATAATATTTAGCAATAGCAAATTTCAAAGCAAATATTCAGCACGTGCTGATCGCCAAAAGTCTCTATAGATGACAGTTGTTAGCATAATAGGAAGTACCTCTAAATGAACTTACCTTATGACTTATGAGTAAGCGTGTTTTTACACACATTTTCTGATTAAATTGTTGACATCTTGCAAAATTAATTTTGAGTTTGTACACACTTACAATGCAATTTGTCATTTTAGGTGGAGTATTTGTACACACTGGTATATCAGACACTGGATCTCATAGCAAGTAAAAAGTAAGTTACTAGTTACAGCTGTTCAGTTGGCAAGGTGATTGTTACTTTCAAAACCAGCTGTCTTTCAGCACTAGCCTGACAAAATGTTTGTTTGTTTGTGTATGTTTTATTTTGTGTTTCCTCAACAGACGACTTCAGCAAGCATCTTCAGTTGATGATCAGGGAAAAGACAAAGATGCATCTTTCACAGATGATGCCGCTGAGGTAACCATCACACTCAGTGAAACAAAATAACACAAATATATTTTCAAGTTAATGAGGCTAAATGGAATTTAGGCAAAGTTAAAATCAAGTCAGTGCTGGCCAGCGCACTATCTGATATGTGGGGGAAGGGGAAGAGGGTACCGGGAGGAGTGCTTTGCATTGCAGTGTCTTGCTCATCTACCCTCCAATATTTCAATTGGCTAGAGTTTAACAATGTACAAAAGGAGTCCTGTACAATAGCAGAGGGCTCTTGGATTTTTCTGTCAGACTAGTAGATTTAGTCCATCAGTTGCCCAATGCATGAGAAACTTTTTAGCTGGCAGGTGAAGTAAGGCCATTTTAGAAAGATGTCAAGGCCTAGCAGCTATGGATAACTCTTTTTAGCAGGTTATTTTGTATTGATCTGAGCTTCCATTTGTACTTTTCAGTTTCTCTTGCTAGATGACATAAAAGAAGCTAAAAATATTGACTTGAAGGAAGATGAAGATGACCCTCAAAGAGAGGTATTGTTATGAGTTTTATGTGGGCAGATAGTCATTGTGGCAAAGCCAAGTTGACTAACAAACTAAAAAAATAAAGACATGAGCACTGTTTTATCTTGTCAGTCTCCCTTGCAGCCATTTTTGGGTCACTGCGAAACATTTAATTTGTCTTGCTGCAAGCATTTTTTCCATATTGTCTGCTTTAAATTTTAACATAATTATTTTAAAACAAAACTTGTAAATTCCACATTGTTAGGCCTCAAATATTGTGCCCAGGACTCCTCTGGCTTTAGTTCCCTTGGGAGAGAAGGACAAGGAAGATGTGCTGTTAAGGTACTATACATACATGAACACTCAATATTAACAATGTTTGTGATTATTCCCTGATGTTCATAACAGGATCAGGGCTCTCAGTCTATAAACATTTCAAAGACTACTGGAGCTCACTTAATTTGTGAGGAGTGTGGTTGCCTGGTCGTGTGGTGGATTCTGCCAAAAGTGATTCTGGATTGAACCTGGCCAGGCTCATCGTTTGGTGATTCCATGGAAGCTACCTCACTTTTACAGTGCCTACCTCCAACCATGAGTATAATGCTTCCCCCTCCTCTCAGCTATTGATTGTGGCAGCCTGATTAAAATTCTTTGCAGAGGATACCTATTATGGACTATCAATATCAATCCATCCAGGTCACCAGTTGCTACTTGCTATTATGGATACCAATATTGATACATGATTTTTTTTTATTCTTAGCCGCACTGGCGAAGTCCTTGGAAGTCGGAATGATTTTAAGGTAAGGCTTTCAAACATTTCCTAACCTCATTCCAAAATCTTGAGGGAAGTTATCTGGTCGTAGAAGAGTTTAGAAGTTTCTGGGTTATATTCAGAAAGTCTTCAGATCAACTTTGGAATCTTACGGGGTCTAGACTGCCCATAGGAGATCTTTACGATCAGAGTCTTCAGACCAATTTTGTGCGCTATCTATTACTAAATATAATTGGTTAAAATAATTTTTGCTATAACCATTATAGTTTAGTTCTGGGATGGTCAGTAATTTGGTGTAGTTTGACAATTTTTTATGACATGTAAACAATTTTCAGCTCACCTTGTATTGTTAACCAAAAATATTTTTTCAATGTTCTAGATGAACACATGTGCCATCCATGCATCGGGGACCCTTCTTCTTGACTTGACACACCTGTCATTGTTAGACGGCTCCTTTAAACGGCTGATGACTTCTACTCCCGCAGCTATGCAAGGTTAGTTGGCAATTATAAGGCCAGTTTCAATATTTTAAAATTTGTGGTGCTAAGGTTCAGGGGAGTGGTCAACTAAAGCAAAACAATTATTGTTTATTCATATCTCAGCCACAATATAATTTCTTTATTTTAGTCCCTTTTTAGGGGTTTCTTTGAGGGCTGCGCATTGGGCAAATTGACCAGCTGTGAGGACTATTTTGCCCGGCTGGTTTGACCATCTAGTGAAAAGTTTTTCTTACAAAGAAGTTCAGTCCTAATAGTTTTGCTTGCCCGTGAAAACCGCTTGCCCTTCTGCTGAAAACGTTAATGAAACCTTTGCCCTTAAGTGTCATTAAAATTTTCAAACATCAAGGTTGGCCTATTTCTGGCTGTCTTTGAGAGGTGTGGTTGCCTAGTGGTTAAGATATCAGAGCACATCTGGCTCATGTAAAATTTTGAATTGGAACAGGTTTTTTGGTACCTTTAACACATGTACAGTGTAGCAGATTCCATGTTAGGGAAGCAAAACAACATGATAATTTTTTCCAAGTGATTTTGTGATTGTGATTGTGCTTTTTTGGTCAGATCCTCAACCTGGAACTAATGATCAAAGATCTAATCAAGTCGTTACAGATGCTGTGGCAAATGCTGACGATTTGAATCTACCTGGTGAGGATAGTTGTTCTTTTCTTCGAAAAAATATCTTTAATGCAAGAACTTATAAACACTGGCAGACTGGTCCAAGCTCTTAACAGTAGGTTGCTAGGTAACATGGTATATCACCAAGGTGACAAGTAAACATGGATTGTGTAGTCAGCTTATTGATGTTAATGATACTGAATTTTTAAGTTCTCCTTTTAACATTTTGTGTTTNGAGACTATTGAGCCAATGGGTATGGAGCACATAACACAATCATACAATATAATATGCAAATTGACAAAAGTAAGGCCAAAAAACGCCAGCAACAATGACAGGCACTTTACACATACAGTAAAGACCCCGGTCTCGATTCACATCCCTGTGTTTAGGCTTAGTTAATTGTCTTCCAGGTAATAGGTACAGGTAGACTGTTCACTCAGATTAATGACCTGTCTGCTCTCAGTATTAGCTCAGTCGGAACAGTTCATGGGTATCTTTGTGTGGGTCAGTTCTGGACAGTGGTTATAAAGGAATTTTGTGGGCCAACAATTCATTCACTGGTCCCTTTTATTGTAGAAATTATGACGAACAGGTCTATAGGAATGGAATGCTTAAGCCCTCAGGTTGACCTACAAATGTAGTAATGATGAACTCTAAAAAGTCACACTTGTGTTCCACAGCATTAGATGGTCCTGCAGAAGGTGTAGTTATTTCAAGTTATGAAGAAATGGTTCGACAATATGTGGTGAGTTTTTGACTTGTTGTCTGTGCTAAGCCTTGGACTGGTGAACAGTTCTCATGATCTTATCAGAACTGAAAAATTGTTGTATCAAACTAATAATTATTAATTTGTTACTGAATGATCCTGTGACACAGGAGGGCTACCTTACAGAAGCACAACAGTATGCACAGGAGACAGAATTAAGCAGGAGAGTCAGAGATTGGGAAGAAAGAATTGTTCCAGTGTTAGCACAAGAGGTACATGTAAACAGACTTATCATAAAAAAAAAAGAGAAAAACTTATAAATAAGTACCATTTGTGATCCGGTATTAGTTGAGTCATGAGTAACAGAGCTATACTTTTGCAACATTTGTACTCCACTTAGATGGCATGGTAGTGCATTGCAGTGCTCCCCTTTTCTCCCCCATTTCACAGAGGTACAGTGGAACCCCACCTTACGGGCATGCTGTTAATACATCCACCTTGTTAGTAAGGCTACCTTATTCCGGTCCAGCTCCTCATTTTCTTACTTTAAGCACCTCTTTAATACAGCTACTCCATTTTATACGGCGATCTTTTTGTGGCCTGTTGGTGACCAGATTAAAGGGTTCCACTATACTGAAAAATTTAAATAACACCTACATCATGAATATATTCAAGTATTCACAACTGGAAGGCTGTGGTGAAAACTCTTTGATTAGGCAATTTACTAATCAATAATGGTGAACTGCTCAATTTATTTGCAGGATACCCATAGGCCATTTGATATTCATAAGTATGGTGAAGAAATACTACACTCATTTAAAGGTATGCAATTTTATTCCTTAGTCCCTTTATATCCACAATATTATGCCATTGATAGTGTGTGATCAATAAACCACCTTGCAAACATCATGGCAAGAAAATCTGGGTTGGAAAAGTATGAGTTACTTGATAGCATCTCAACAATCTGGAGTGATTAGTCATTAAAATAAAATATAAAAAAATCTTATGAGCAGATGATTTTTTTACAGGAAAATGTAATCAAGATTTCAAAGCACTAGCCAATAAAAAGGTAATATGCAAATCATTTTTTTTTAAATAATGATTGCTTTGCTGTAAGACTATGATTTATGATAAAACAAATTTATAATGAGGGGAAAGTCTAACTTATAAATCTCAGAGCATTCAGACAAATTCCTCTGAGAGATTTTTGACAACGTCACCTTTTTCATCTTGACTAGGTATCTTTAGCAACAGCCAGATTTTCACAGGAAATCAAACAAAGAAATTGTACAAAAAATGAAACATGGTTTACCGGTAATTGTTCCTGTAATTTATGACAGACTTTTTTCTTTGCAGGAACCATTTGAGATCTGCAGGTTGTTTTTAGCCACATTACAGCTGGTAGGTTTCCTGTATGACTGATAGTAAGTTGGTAAAAGTGTTCCTTCTAACTCACACAGGCTTGATTTCCACCGCTCTCTCAAGCGGGGATTAACTGGGAGCGGTTCAATTCCAGGGAGTGAGCTAAGATGTACCCAGGGGGATAGACTCAGATGGTGGCTTAGGAAGGTTTATGGGTGGGGGGAGGTGCACTCAGAGGGATCATTAACTTAAGATAAATACAGCCCAAGCAGGATATACTGAGGGAGTCACTTCCAAAGGAAAATGAGTTGATGGGGGCACTATCCAAGGAAGTTGTGCTGAGAGAAGTGCAGTTGAGTAGGATCAGCTGAAGGAGACGCCATCCAAGGTGGTTAAACAAGGGAAGGTGCAATCTAAGGGTGGGTGGCGGAGGGAGATCCATCCCAAGGGGTTGATTAAGCTAAAAAATATGTAGCTCATTGTGGATGGGCAGAGGAAAGCGTAACCCGCAAAAGATAGACAGAGGGTGGTGTAACCAAAGGGGATGAACTTAATCCAGGAGAGGTGTGCTAAGGGAAGGTTTGATTGTCGTAATCTATTACAGTGAAAACAGCTCAAGCGTTCCTGCCAAGGGTGAATGAATGAGTTCATTATCGAAAATTTGATATCATTACTCGTTTCAATAGTCCGTTATTCAAGTGAAGAGTAGAAAATTCAAAACAAGACTTGATCCACACTTGAACTGTTTTCTCTGTAATGAATAAACAAATTTTGGACATTTTTCCTTACAGGCAAACAATTACAATGTGGAGATTTCAGCTGATGGAGTTGGAGAAGAAGCAGTTGACACTATGAGACTAAAACTTTTAAAAACAACTCCAGGAAATCAGGCTATTGCTACTTTTGGAGGACACACTTCAACATGATATTTGTCAAATCTAGGATATTTTTAAAATACTGTAATAATTGAAGTGATTTGATATGGACAAAGTAGTGCTATGAAGGAAATTCTACTACAACTTTCCTTATCCCTTCACTTCAATAACAGTTACAATTAGTCTGTTTTAACAGTGGTTGATATTACTTTTATCCAGTAGTTTAAGACTGATCACTTGAGTTGCATGCATCAAGCTTGTTGGTTTTAAAACTACTTTCAATTTCTCCTGTCCACATTCATATTTTTAATTTAAACCAATGATTCTTACTTTTACATACATTAATCGGGATCAAATCAACAAATAGATCCAAGAAAATTTAATTTTATTAATTTAAAACAACTTCTGTGTGAGACTGTGAATTAGATAGTGTCAAGCTTGTGCTATAGAGTCAGATTCAACTGGGTTGCGTTCAAATGTTTTGTTTTTACTCTAAAGTGACTTGGTGGCTCTTGTAATAAAAGTTTCTGGCTCTTGTAATAGAAGTTTTACATCTAACATTCATGTTCTAATGTGCACCAGCATGCCACAGTAATATCACAAATCACTGATGTATCACATGAAGGTCTCACTTACAAACTGCACTGTCAACAATGTTCTCATGAAATATATTTAAAGTGAGACCCTGTGAAAGGAAAATTAATGGAAAGAGGTCACTCGACTCTTCATTTTGCAAGTTTTAGTCGGGGAAACTTGGTTTTCTCTATAGCAGGCAAACCTACCCTGTGAGTAGAGGCACTTCTTCCCAAGATCAGTGGCATGGTACATTTGATCATGTTGATTTGTGATAACAGGGTAAAAGGAGCTTATATTGTAAATCAGAAGCTTATCACCCATTCACAGTGATTAGCTTCTGTGTAAATACATGTACAGTGTTTATGTAAGTACAGACTTCCAACCTTTTCACTCACTATTTGCTTGGCAAATACAAGGACATGAACATAAGATCTGGAAGAACTTTACTGACGTAGAATCAGAATGATCTCGTGTTTGTAAGCTTCATACATGTACCACTGTTGTAGGTATTACCAAGCCACCTCAACACAGCAGTGAAATAAACTAAAAGATTACTGATAATACTTGCCTGTTTAAATGTGTAAGAATACTCTTTTTGAGCCTTGTATGCATGTAACTGCAGTTTTTCATCTATATAAGAAGTAGCAGATGGTAAATCTAACATGACTGCCTGTAATGAAAGGCATCTTGCCTGTTGTTATGGGCCGAGTGGCCCAGAGCTACCAGCACTTTTGGTATTCAAATCATGATTTGGCAAATCTGTACGCCATGCAGAGAAACTAACTTCCTTTATATTACTGGAACATTCTTTCCCCGGCAAATTGGCATGTTGAGAAAATAATAGACAGTTCTTGGCTTTGCCTTAATTTCCAACTGAATTTCTCAGTATACTGCATAATGGCTTTTGACAGAACTTCATGGCATCCACTTCAAATTAAGTCTTACCCATAATAAATCAAATTGGACTTCTACCATGCAATTGTCCATTTTTATTTCTCTTTGCTATATTAGACCTACCATAGTTAGAATCCTTTCATGCACTATACATCTTTGCCAATTCTCCCATTATATGGATACAGACCAAATCTTGCACTCTCCTGTACTGGTCACCAAATCTTCCAGATACAAAGAAAAGCTCTTAAAGTACATTTTTCACACCTTGGGCAATATTTCTGGCATTTTCAGAGGAAAATTTGGGAATATTTGATGCATTTTTGTGGTTGAATCGGTGGAGTTCTACTTTTAACAATGTTTTTAGGGGCACGAAGGGAAAAAAGCAATCTCCCAGTTTTCATTATTTTTAGGTTTGCATCTCATCCTATACGTTACAAATAAATTTATTATCTGACATAAAAAAACCAGCTAAAGAGGACCACTAACTAGAATATGTCGGTTACCAGCCTAATAATTTCCAGGGGCAGGACTGAGTAAAGTTTCTGCAGCTCTTTTTCAATCATAAAGGCATATTTCAGATATTTGATGCTAAATCTCTCATTACCCGCTTCTGCTAAGGACCATCTAGGAGAATATTGGTCCTCAGCCCTTTCTGTAAGGAAACCACTGGGCTCCATGGGCCATTATTCTCCCATTACAGCTATAGTATTTTGTAAAATTAATAAGGTAACTTGATGATGGCAACACTTACCTTATATAATACATCAACACCTGACTTCAAGGAAATTTTGGCACTACTGTCTCAGG